CCACACACAACAAAGATGATAATCACTTGCATATTATCTCAAATCGTCATAGACCATGGCCTAAGTTTATAACATAGAGAGGTATCATATAGTATTTAATCATAACATGTTTGCAAGCACATAACAAATATATAAAAAAAAAAAAAAAATCAGAAATCTTATAAACCTGCTTGAGACATATAAGAATATTGATTGCAAACTAAATATTAAATGTTATCTTAGTGAAGAAAAATAATTTTCTTAATTGAAGACATCTTATATATGGAAACCTAAGGAGTAATATAATTAAATGTAACAAAAAATTATGTATCAAGATTTATGCATAAATGAAATATTTTTGAACATTTAACTAACGATAAAAAAAGTTATATGTCATAAAAAAACAATGCACTATAACCATAATGAATGTCTCTAATGTCACAAATATATAATACTTATATAATTTAATCAAATATTATATGGTTATGTTAATGGTTGAGACAACATGCAATTAATTATATATGTTGGTGAGCGTCATACCATTTTATTTTACATGGACTTCGCTAACGGACCTTAATACGACATGCAATTAATCATTTGTCTACTGAAACAAACACTTGTCTTTTGTTACTAAACTATAATAATACATGTTTCCTATATTGAATGATCTTAGTCTCATATGTAGTTCAATTTTTGTACAAATATCTTAACTATCATAAGTTAAACCCTAAGATAATACTTATACGTAAAAGCATAATACTTATATAACTTAATCAAAGATTATATGACCATTAAAAATACTTTCACACATCTTCAGATACTTAATTTAAAGCCTAGAAGTTTATGATAGTGTTGTCGAATGTGTCAGTACTACCTACGTATAAACTCTCATTATGTATGTTATTGTTAAAAATGTGTTTACTTTTTTGCAAAGGAAATTAAATGTGTAGTCTAAATGTCTAATATCTAACTGCAATTGAAAAGTTTACATGAAAAAATATTATAGTTTTGTGATTTCATTTTCATTTATAATAGTATCTTCGGTGACTTCAGATCACTTTTCACGTATTACTTTTTATTACTTTGTGATGTTAATTTTGTGATGTAACCTCAACATCGTCTTCTAAAAAATGAACTTATTAGTGTACTTACAATATGTTGTTTATGCAGATTTTTTGTGTTAAAAGCATTAGATTTACGTGATGAAATCTCAAATGTGTTTTAAAAAAAATGTATATCACAAAATTGTAGTTTCACTTGAGATATGCTATAAAATTATATATCACTTTTTTTAACCGACTTACATATTATTTTTTGTATATTTTGATTTACAACTAATGATTAATATGATTATTGATTATTATTTGTGTTAAAAATCAAGATTTTTTAATAATTTCATAAAAAGTGTGACCTAAGAATGTCAATCTTAAACTAAAATTCGTGCATTTTTAGTAATCTCTTAATTTTTAAGTGAATATTTAGTAATAAATAAATATCTCATTCAGGTTTAATGGACCGTGAGTTTGGTCAAATCGAGATCATAATCTGCATCTGCTCCGAAGTATCTTGGATCAAATATGGGATTGTTGTTGGTCCATTGCTCCAACAAGACAACTAGAAGCTGTCTTCAAGGCTAATATATGAATTAGAATTTTACTAGCTAGATTTCACTTGTCCATCCAAGAAACTATTAACTGCATCATGCCCACAAAAAACTTAGATAATATTGGTGGTCTTGACGAACTTGAGGCGTTGGAACATCTTTTGGTGGATGTAAGAACAATATTAGAAAGTGAGAACCCGTTGACCTATCATTTGACAGAGGAAGCAAAAGTGGTAAATAATCAGGCTCGAAAGTACAAGGTAGCTACAGTCGTATGATACCATTACGAGGATCTAGACGTTGAAATTGTGCTTATGAAGTCTCTCTTGGAATCCTAGGTAGCTACACACCTAATCGTCACTAATAAGTATGACTCAATTTTGGGAGAGAATATTTATGATCCGCGAATAAATACAAGAGAGTTGAGCGCACACATGACTCTTATCGCTGGTTATGGCATAGATGCAACCGGAAAAAATATTCTGGGAAGCACAAGAGTCATATGGAGTCAACAAAGGAGCTGGCGGGTACATCAGCTCGATACTAACACCTTCTTTCTGATTTCCATCAGATTATCGTTTGAGGTAAACTTTTGTTGCTAGTTCTAACTTTGATGGATATTAGACCTAACTAAGCATTAGTCCTTGTTAGATAAACAACATGATAATATATGTGGGTTTCACAGCTATGATAAGGAAAACATTTATAATCGTAGACTATCTGAATTACATGCTTTGGTTATATGAAAATGATAATATCTCTATGGGATTGTTAGATAGTACTTGTTTAGATACCAATAAGGTCTCACATCGGTAAGATAAAGGAGGAGAGTGTTGGTATACAAGTGTTCATGGGTTCCTCTCCTCACAACCTAGGTTTCGGGAAGATACAAGGGCCAATGTACCTTGTAAGCTAGACCTGAACTCTATCATTGGTGCGGTGAGCATGGAATTGAACCACATCAACAGTGCGGACCCGGTATGGCTGGTATGGGCTAAGACGCGGGTATGGGTTAGGACGCGGGTATGGGCTGATGTGAAGGACGCTTGTATGGCCCGAAGCCACTAGCACCGTGACGTCGATGTTCAATGGATGGGGTATTGATAAGGTCCCACATCGCTAAGATAGAGAAGGAAAGTGTTGGTATATAAGTGTTCATGGGTTCCTCTCCTCATAACCTAGGTTTTGGAGAAAAACAAGGGCCCATGGACCTTATAAACTAGACCTCAAATGGTTTATTAAATAAATAAAAATTAATTGTGTATCTTAAAATAAACCAACAAAGAGAGAAAACCCTATCTAAATAATTTTTTCATCACTAGAAAATAATCAGAGTCGTGCCTACTAAGAAAAAAAAAATCGCCTACGTTGCTAAATTTTATAAACAATCAAAAAGGCAATACATTTGCTAATTGTGTTTGTCATATAAATACTATTGAAGCTATAAATTTAGGGAGATTAATACAAATAATAAAGGAAAGTAGTATAACGTACAATATATACAAGGAATCTTGAATTTTCACACGTATTTAAGGAAATATCTCAAAGTCTTCTTTTCTCACTTATGTTTTTTTTTCTATCTCATTAATTCTTTTTTTTTCTCACTTCTTTACCACCTTCATTTTTGATAATCATCTTTAGCCAACTTTATTAATTATTTTTCTATATTAGATACCACATTTTAAATATTACCATTATTTTTATTAAATTTTTAGTAACTACCAAAACTATGTTCTGTTTTGTTAACATCATACATCATACTGTTTGAACGGTACACAACAACAATAATAACATAAATTACTAGACTACACGTTATAATCAACCTAATTTCTATTATTTTGGTAACTATTTTGTTCAAAAGTTATTTTACAAGTTTTGCTTAAAATTTTGAAAATTTATTATTAAACTCTAAACAGTAAAATATATATTTTAATATGTATAATGTTTTATTTAAATATTGAACTATATTTTGTCGCCTATGGAATCAAAATTCCGTGGCATGACTCTCAAAATGACACACGCGTTGTGTAGGTTCAATAATATATTAGTGAGTTTTAATTATTATTATTTTCAAACTTTTAATGTTCACTTTATTTTTTCATTATAATTAGTAGTCTAGAAGTTTATGATTGTGTTGTCGATGTGTTAGTATTACCTGCATATAAACTCTCACTATGCATGTTATTGTCAAAAATGTATATACTTTTTTGAAAAAGAAAATTAATTGCATAGTCTAATATCTAACTGTAATTAAAAGTATACATGAAAATATTATAGTGTTTTGTTATTTCACAACACTTACACATCTAATACTGAACAATGTAATTTCATTTTTATTTATAATAGTGTCTTCGGTGACTTTAGATCACTCTTTACTATCACTTTTTATTACTTTGAGATGTTAATTTTGTGATGTAACATCAACATCGTCTTCTCTAAAATTAGGATTTCACAATATATATATATATATATATATATATATATATATATATTGTTTAAGGTCTTACAAATTATTTTTGTTAATTTTTTTGCTAGTTGATTATTTTCTTAATTTTGATATAAATTTAAATTTTTTGCTAAAATCTACAATCATGAATTCGTGAACCCCAAAAGTGTTCGTTGATGATGACTTCCACTCCAATGTATTATGGTTTTCCATTTAGGATATCTATAAACTATTAACGATCTCTTTGCAAAACTCATACCAAAGAGTTGAATGGGTTATAAAATTAAAGAGCCTTTGCTTCCACTTCAAGAAAAGTAATCAATGATCCTAAACAAGATGATCTCCAGTGCTTTGAATTTTTTTCGTAATCCTTAACGATCATCCAGCCACTATTTTTTCTAGTAACTTGTTTCGAGATTGAACGCAGCATCGCAATTGCATTTTTTAAATTCCTTCTTTCTTTTTTTTTTCTTTTTCTTAAATTCCTTATTTTGGACGTCTCCAAAAAAGAGAAGTTGACGGCCTATTGGTTGAGATTACCCTTGACAAGATTTACCATATGAAATACCTCAGTTTTTGCATTATAGGTGAATTACTCCCATATTCTTGCTTTCAAAATCGAATTGTTCCAGTATTAAAAATAATTTTTTATTTTATCAATCTTTCTACACATAATTCGAGATAACATACCCGTAAACAACAATCAACAATGATAGTAATATTTTGTTTACTTTCTTTTTGATATACATATAAAACTCTTGTATTGATTAACCAAGAAAAATAAATAGTATCAATCTCTCAACCGGAATCGATAATTCAAGATACGAGACTATATACAAGAATAAAAAAATATTGGAAAACAAAAAGAAAAGAAAAAAACTCGAGTCAATGATAAAGCACTTTGTTTCACATCTTAGGTCGTCATTGATATTTAATGTCCTTGCGTTACGTAGGAGACTGTTTTCACTCCAATCAGGTCGTCGATCTCTCCTGGCCCGCTTCATTTGCAGGCTGGTTCAAGTTGTGACCCATCTGTTCTTCGGATTGAGGCGACGATCCGGTCTCCATATTAGCCACTATATTAAACCATTTAAATATAGTCATATCTCTAGAGTACATAGAGATTAGTCAAGACCTAAAATTGAAAGATATATAATATACGTATGATATTCAATGTATACCTGTGGATGTAGGCATCGCCAAGGCTTTCATCCTCGCTTTGTGACGATTTGCTAAGATAATAATGATGACCACGAATGCGATAAGAAGAAGCGCCACCGCAGCTACCACACCAAGTATAATTGGCAATTTACTATTCTTTTCTTCTATGAACCCACCTGATCCGATATCAAATGTAAATTATTTTTACTTGGATAACATGAATATATATACATGTTTTATATAGTATCATATCCATAGCATTTCATGTTATGAATATGATCCAGTTAAAAGTATTTATCAAAATAACTACGTAACCATATGATCCAATTATACTAATAAGTATTAAGTTCGTCCTTCTTTGGTAATCCAGATTATTTCTTTCGAGACACAGACTAACCACAAAACAAACATGTCAAAAACACAAACCTCCTCCTCCTCCACCTACGCTTGTACCCGTACTTATCACATAAAGCTCCACGGCATTAATCAGGGGTGGGTAAAACGAACTAGCGGTTGAGCGAAACTCTAATTCGGTGGTGGAGTTGGCTACTACATTTTTCACGACCACTTGTATTGTTTCTCCAAACACGGGCTCAATTGGACTTTCATTCACTTGCTTACCATCTAAAAATATGTTGAATGATCTTGAGCTCAATGTGTCAATAGGCTCAGAGAAATACATTGCCAAGTAAACTGGCACTCCTCCAGAAGGAAGAGTGGGGTCCCCTAGCACTAAGCCATCACCAGACCAAGATTTTCGAAGGACGATCTCAGGCGGCTGGTTGGAAGCACCCGATGTGTCTATCAATGTGGCCCTAGACCTCCTTTCTCTGTACAAAGCATGTGACCCCGATGGAAACCAGAACCTACCGTGAAGATCCGATCTAACCAAAACAAAAAGAAATGTCTACTCAAAATTCAACCAGTCTAAAAGCATACATTTTTAGGTTTTCGTTTTGATTTACATTTCAATTATAAATTTACAAATTATATATGATTAAACGGAATCGTAAATTAAGTTCCCTTTTACGTATAAAACAATCATGGCTTAACTAATAACTTACAAATACCGCTAATATTTATATAAACTTCTGGACCAATTCACGTAACAATGAGAACATATGTCCAAAAGATAGTGTATACCACGATCGAATATGTCCTGTAAACTAAAGTCCAGATTTTTGGATCTTTAAAATTCTAATCTATTTTCTTACATTCTCATATCTTGAATAGTTCTCCACATGACCCCACCCGACCACTGTGTTAAATTCCGGTATGAAATTTTATAGTTTTGTCACGTATTATTGAACTCTCATAAAACAAGTTTTAATTTATATTATAAAGTAAGTGATTATTGGAAGACGTTTATGTGTGTATATATATATGTACCTTAGACCTATGGTAGCACCATACGCAATTCGTTGTTGGTAAAACAAACCTTCACCAGGACCAAGCTCGTTGTACATGCCTGAATCCAATTCTACAATTTCAATGGAGGATACAAAAGGGTTCGAAGAAGACGTACGTAAAAAACAAACGCTAGTCTCGCTGCTGGCCGGAGAAAATATCACCTCCAAAAGGTAAGGATCAAACGACGACAATATCGATGCGGTGCCTAGGTGTTTCCCGTCAAACAACACATCGAAAGTTGGAAATGAGGACTTCCGGTCGTAATTCCCGTAATAAAATACCGTTCTTATTAGAACTTTGCCACCTTTTGTGAGGGGAATCTTGGAGTAGCAGTTGGATTTGCCAGATGGAAAGTATCGGAGTGTGGAAAGGGATTTCTCTAATTCGTTGTTAAGAACAGTAGAGGACTTTCCGGTTGTGATGAGGTCTGTGTCTCCGACCCATCTTATGTTGTTGTTGTCTATTCCAGATGCGGATGTTCCACAGTCTATGTTTACGCCTGATATTTATCATGAATGCATGAATGAGTATAGCTAGGGATAACGAAAAAGGATTTACAAAAGTTGTTTTTGTTTTTGTTGTTGTAAATTGGTATTATTACTGCTTGTCCAACTTAGTGGCCAAATAATGCTCTATGCTCAAATAACATCAAGTAATATTTATATTGATTGAGGCTATAAACCAATTCTTATTGAATCGGTTTATACATTTAGTTAGGCATTGTGAATTCTTGCGGCGGCTCACTAAAATGTTTTACGCTAACCGATTGCATATAATGATTAAACAGAATTTCATGATGGTGTAGATCGTAAAAAACACATGGCAGTTATAAATCTTGTAATACAAACATTACTGTTGACATTTTCTTAACCATCACATAAAAAAAAAATACCAAACAAAACCAATGTGTTCGATTACGGTATAATCCAAGACTCTTCCTGATACTAAGCTAACCATATTAGGTTGAGAAAGAGGAACTTATATTACGTGTGTAAGACGATAGAAATTTCTTTAACATAAACTTTGTAACTAATTTTTTCTCAGAAAATAAAAACATAAGCACTTACTTGCTAGCGAGAGGGTTATGATGGAAAGGAAGAAGAGAAGATAAAGCGCAGGGGCAGCCATGATGGGAGCCAAATTTTCAACTAATGCTCCCTACGAAAAACATCTATATATAATATATTTGTACCTAATTTGTGTGTGTGTGCATGTGTTGTATGTATCGATTAGCTGTTGATTAATATCTTAGAAGCTAGTTGAAATCGAACAACAGAAAAATTCCTTTTGACCTTTCTAGTTTCCAGCGATCAGACGGGAAGTTAAAAGGTATTGCAACATGCATTTCATATATTTCGAACAGACGAGCATATGCATGCACCCATGTCTTCTTCTTTTTTTTTTGCTCAAACATACTTCATTCCATATTGGCATATTGATATTAAGATCTATACAAAATTTCTGTCTTTCCACCTACGGAGGAAATAGTAAAGGATACTAAAATATATTTTTAATTATTGATTTTTGCTTTACGTTAAAATAGTTAAGCTGGTCGGAGAAGCCAAATTGTTTCTAACAGAAACAATCTGGTAATATATATAACATAAAAATAGTCCCATAATAGAAACCCAATTAAGCCAGCTGTAAATCTCTAATTAAGCCAGTTACTAAAAGAAACAAGCCATGTATAACAAAAAAAAGTCAGACATTTAATTTCTAAAGATCTCATTTAGAATTGTGAGAAAGAAACAAGCCATGTATTACGTCTGTAAAATCCATAAATTCTAAAGATCTCATTTAGAATTGTGATATAATTTATGTCTTCTTATTAACTGCAACTTTGACATGTTGTTTCTTGGAAAGTGTTGATAAATTGGAAATTTGACTTTCCCTTCTTGTGTGATTTTATCCTCTAACATTGTGTACAGCTCTAATGTATTTCCTTAGTGGAAAAAAAGAAAGAGACGTTGCAAATTAATGACAAGAGATGTTGGTGTTGTTGGCATTGTATAAAAGGGAGAAGACGCTTCTTCTCAAGATACATTTGCTCGGTGCTCCACTGTTAAAATGGTGAAATAAAAAAACAGAGTTCATTATTCAAGTGTTTTGTAGCTACTAAGTTTTAGAGAGATTGATATTCGTGTGAGGACCACCAAACAATGATTTCTCCAAGAAGAAGACAACCATGATTGATGGGGAGTAAACTGCTTTTACTTGTAATCTTAGTTCATGTTTTTTGGGTAGATACATTAAAATTTAGTTTTAGTCTATCTTGTACTTGTCTTCTTGAAGTGATCTAATAAACTTGTTTGTAGCCGAGTACTAGTGGTTAATTTAAAAGAACCAACTGATACCTCGTTAAATTTTTGTTATCTATATTGTTTATTAAGCTTCTGTACTTTAAATTTAATATCTCGTCTCTCTCAAAATATATAATATGGTATCTGAGCGGGTTCACTGATTTTGTTTTTTTGATAAACTCTATTGGTTGATCCGGTCAGTCCCGGTAGAAACGCACCGAAGTGCTTCAGGACTACTCCCCAAAGGGCCATCACACTGTCTGTCCCGAGTTTAGAATGCTTTCCGACTAATGTCAAGGGGTAGCCAGATCGTCTGTTACTGGACTACCAGGTAAACTGCTTGGGCCTTTGGCCCAAACCCAGACTTCCCACACAAATATGTTTTTTGTTTCCAGCGTGCATCGAATCTAGGTTAGTTCCTTCCAACCTTTCTCCAATCCTCAACTACCACTGGACCACAGTTGTGTGGGCGGAAGTTCACTGATCAAGTTTAATACAAACTAGATGAAGCTCCTCGAGAAGGTATGTAGCTCTGTGACTCAGCCGCCGTTCTTAGAGGGTAGTTCAAACGACGACTACTGGTAAATTAGAATGCAATCCTTCATTAGTTCCATTGATGGAGATGCATAGAACTCTGCGATTATTGGATACAACGAACTTGTTATGGTTGATGCTCAAGAAAACGTTGCACCAAAGGTGAGAAGTCTGTGGTCTGAAGAAAAAGTCATGAAATGCACGAGCAACTCCAAAGCTTTGAATGCGATATACAAGGCAATCGACGTTGGGTTTTCCAACCCATTAAATTATGAGAGGGATCTTTGAACGTGAAACCTAAATTATGAAACAAATGCAGGTGCATTACCTTTTGTTTACTAAATTAGCAAGATCTTCTTCGGAGTGATCATGAAATCATGAGAAAACTATATTTAAGTTTCTCTCATACATGGCCAGCCCAACAGATTATGCTATCTAAAGCATCCTAAAGCCTATGATGTCCCTCCCATTTATTTTTAAACAGTCACAAAATAGCAGATCCGAGGTTCGAACCAGGTACGAGAAATACAACTTTTTTGGTATTAACCAATGCACTACAAAACGATTTAAGTGTCAGTTAAATATGCATAAGTATATGTATGAGAAAGAAAACAGAGTTAACTTACATGCTTTCTGGCATGGGATTTGAAAGAGGTCTGGCTAGAACGGTGTTTAGATATACCAAGGCCATCGGGATGATGATATCGAGCATTTCTACTGTTGATACTCCTAATTTCTGATTTAGAATCACGCCAAAAATGAACAAGTCCAGCCCACACTTCAGGATCAATCCATTTAGGCTTTGCCACATCACCTTTATTCTTTCACTTTCCCTTCCACCGAGAAACTTGATCAGACATCCTATCCTTCAACTTGTCCTCAAACTCATCTCTAACTCTCTCATTTATGGACTTGTCCCAGTTGTACATTTACTCCAAAATAAAAAACAGAGTCAGAAATAGCATCACATATATTTGTAGAGTAAAACAAAGCTAAACTATACAATTTCACTTAAAAGTCTCATACCAACGATTGATCACTGCATTAGGAGTCTGTGTCCAATTGGCATGAGGTTCCTTGAAATCTCTTTCAAAAATCTTGTGGACAGAAGCTGCAACTGAACCATCAACGTCAAACCTACAACAAAAAAATCAATTACAATGAGAATCTACATTATTAAAATACAATGAATCATATATACAAACCTAAGTAGAACCAAAACTGAAATTAGATTTAAAGTAGAACCAAAATCTTCATGCCCTTTACATTACTTTCAGGCAAAAAAGATATTGGAATAGACTGTCATCTCGTATGAGACTGAATACCCGGCCCAAGGCTAAGCGGATAAGCCCCTGTTTTGAACGCCAAAAAGTATATATAGTAATAACGGGTAAAATTTAAAATCTTTTTCTTTTGTTTTAGTGTGAGGAGACTGGTGATTTAACACCAGATTTTCTGGTGGTTCTTGAGCAAACTCATCGCAAACCTGATGGGACTTTCATTGATAGAAAGTCAGAGGAGATCTACAAGGAAGTGTCATTAAGGATTGAAGAGGAGGCGTCTCAGCTGTTTACAGGGGATAATACAGAGAGCTCTGCTTCAGGTGGATTATCAGTGGCTGCCAAGAACAAGATTTATGCTCAGGTAATTCTGTATATTTCAATTCAGAGTGTCTTTAATTAGTACTTAGTCTTTGTGTGTTGTGTGATTATGTGATTATGTGATGATGTTGGCAGCATACTTGTGTGATGATGTTAGTAGCATACTTGTTAGCATTATACTTGTGTGATTATTTCATTAGTACTTAGTCTCTTGGGAGTCCACTCATTATACTTGTGTGGTTTGTATCAGGTTGCTCCAAGGAAGAAAGGAAGGTTGTATGGGGTTGGTTCTCTGCAGAATGAAGCATCCTCTGTCCATGTTGGTCCATTGCCTACTCATAATGATTGAGTGGTTCTATTGGAGAAGCTTGCTGCTGCTGAAGCTCGTCTTGAACTTCAGGCTGAGAAGATCAATAGCTTCGATGCCTATTGGGAATACCTCGCAGAGAAGGATCCAGTGTTTGCAGGCATGTATCGAGGACCATCTGAACAGGCAAATGCAGACGCCATAAGAACTGCAGAGGGCAACGAGACCTGAGGCGATCAGACTGGCGGAACTGAGACAGGAACTGGTACCAGACCAGCCTCCTCTACTTCACAAGCTTTTTAATTTCTCTCTTTTTTAAGACTTGAAGTTTATTTTAAGACTTGGATTTGGTTTAAGACTTGGTGTTGGTTTGTAATCTACAATTATGTTTTTGAATCATTTAGGAATGTTTTTGAATGTTTACTGATTTTATTTATGTTTTTGAATGTTTTTGAATGTTTTTGAAAATCAAATTAAAATCACCAAAAAAATAAATCAGGATAAAATACGTAAATGAAAAAACAAAAAAAGACTCGCAACAGACTTGCAAATCCCTAGCAAAATTTGCGAGGGAAGTGCTACTCGTAGTTTTTGCGAGGGATTGTGGTCCTCGCAATATATGCGAGGGAATTCCTCGCAATATATGCGAGGGAATTCCTCGCAAAATTTGCGAGGAAATTGCAAGATATTACATTTGCGAGCTGCGTTTTGCGAGGAATAACATGGCGTAGCAAATCCCTTGCTACAAGCGTTTTGCGAAGGATTTACGAGGAATCATTCCCTCGCAAAACACATGTTTTCTTGTAGTGGGTGTATTGTCACAAAACAGAATAGGAAAACAAATAACTTCAATATAAAATAATTTGGTTGGTTTTTCTTTTGGTTTATATATAATCACGAAACACGAAATTAGTGAAGAAAACGAAACACAAATAGGCAATAAAAATTCTGAAAAACAATAATTGTAACAATATAAGAAACGATATTGGACCCTAAGAAATTCACATGGATTAATTCATGTTTTCTTACCACTAACCAGCATGGGATCGGACTAGTAGTTGAATGTAGGTAAACCAAAAATGTAAGTACCTAGGAATAGAGTTTGATTTCTCTTGGGATGAATAATTTATCACAAAATGATTCTGACCCTAAAAGTTGTTATCAAAAAAGAGAAAAAAATAAATAATAATAAAATTAAAAAGAAACAGTCGTAGAAATATCGTTCTAGAATTTGTTTGAGTCATCCAACTAGACTACCGTCTATTGACTAAATTTTTCGCTTGAATTCCAACGGAAATATGCCAAACGGTTTCTTAAATGCCCTGCTATAACTTTAAGGACTAGGAGAAATCGACTCATATATCTTTGCAGATTTGTTTTTGATTTTGAGGTTTTTGGAGAATTGTTTTGTTTAGCTACAACCTTATATGATATATCCCAACCTATTTTATTTGCATTGTTCGATCAGAATAACCAATTGAGCATCTATATATCAAAACATTCTCTCACTAAAATTTACTTATTGATACAACCATATTCATTATTACAAGATAAGTAAGATAAACGAAAAAGAGAAAGGATAATCACACCATTTATCTCACACATCACACATTTTGTTTTCTTCACCTTTTCAAATTCAACTTCTCCTGTTAACCGGAGATATCTATGGACTTGACCTCAGGCTTCTTCTCCGGCACTTTCGGCACCGTAACCGACAACACACCATTCTCCATACTCGCCTTCACTTCTTCCATCTTCGCATTCTCCGGCAACCTAAACCTCCTCATGAACTTCCCACTTGACCTCTCCACACGGTGCCACTTGTCACTCTTCTCTTCACTCTCACTACTCCTCTCTCCGCTTATCTGAAGTATATTGCCATCTTCAACCTCCACCTTCACCTCTTCCTTCTTCAACCCCGGCAAGTCCGCCTTGAACACGTGCGCCTCAGGTGTCTCCCTCCAATCCACTTTAGCGTTTGTGAACGCTGCCACGTCCTTAGCCGGTGCGTTTGCAACACCTGATGGCGTCAAGAATCCCTCAAAAGGATCCCATACGTCGAGTGACAATGGATCGAACACGTTGGTCCTTCGACCTCCAAAAATGCTCGGAATCAGAGACATTGCTTCACTTCTTTTACTCTGTTTTAAATTTGCTCTGTTTTAATTTTGATTTGCTATGAACTCTTTGCTATTTGTTGATTCAAACACCTACGTGCCTTAGCATATTTATAGGGAGAGAGAGTAGTGTAGAGGATAATAGAAAGATTTCTGCAAGTTTCTTCAAAAGTCAAGAATCTTCTTTTCTTTTCTATAGAACGTTCGTATGTAAGGACTAAAGCGTCTTTACCAGAATTATCAGGCGCTTTCAAGAAGTTTCGGTCCTGAGTATTGAAACGACGTGAAGTTCATCAAGTAGGCTAGTGAACGCCACGCCGTTTTTGTGTATATGGGCTTCATTGGCCTTTACTATTTCGGCTTATTTATTATTTCGGCAAACTGAAACTAGTTTAGATGAGGCTAAAAATTGCTAATTAAACTCTTTTTTTTTTTTTTTTTTTAAAAAAATTTACAGAAAACTTTCAAATAATCTGAGACAGCCATAATCTATTGTGAAAATTTAGTTACTTTCTTAATTTTCTTACACTTTGTTTGGTACCCATTGTATATTTATATAAGTATAATAAATTTGAGTTTATTGCATAATCTTTCTTGGTCTAAGAGAAGCTTATATTGGGATAACTACAAGTACATTCACATTGACATTTGCTATAACTTCTTCCTATCTCATATACATAGATCTAATTTGGTTATAGACTTTTCGTTGGTCGTAAGTGTGATGTATAAAACAATACATTGACTTCATATATATCAATGATACTCACATAATTCATAATTAATGTTTATTCATCTCATTTCATTTACTTTCAGTATTCCAATCATATTTATTTTATTCAGCAATATTCGTCATATGATCAACTCATTTATCCAAGTGACGACTAGATACAACTTATGTTCATTCTTTATGTATATCATCGTTGGTCTTTGCTCTCTGAGCTGGCGTTCTTGCCAAGTAATGTCAAATGCCAACAAGTCAATGTAAATTTAATTGTCAACTCACATTTTTTCGTTAATTTCAAATTAAAAACTCCAACATGACCGTCGTTTAGGTTAAAAAAAAAACAAAAAAAACAAAAAGAAGCCATTATCTCTCTTTTTTTTTTACATCTTTGGATCGACAAGGGTCCGAAATCTATAGTCAATCCTTACTACGCAGAGTAAGACGATTTAGTGGAGTCGAACTCCGATAGAAAAGACAGAATCAAATGGACTTAACCACTTGACTAAAAGCACATCTCCTATTTCTATACCTTAAATTTATGAATAAACATTAGTATGACCCAGGTTCGAGTTTATGGTTCAAGATTAAATTTTTTTATTAATAAATTGTTTAGGTTTTAGATCTTTGACCTTTAGGATAAACTTTTTAATATATATAATTAAGAAGTTTTAGGCCGTATTCATACATCTTTTTAGCGTCGGATCAATCTTTAATAATTTAGCAGCACCATCCGCTATTGGATGATATGATTTTTTGGATTGGTATATTTCTAGTCGAGGTATCAACATGTATGTTAAGATTTAAGTTTTAACATTTAATCATTTTTTATTTTAAATTTTAAAGTTTTGTGTTTAAGAGTTAGAATTTGGAGTTAAAACTATTACTCAGTCTTATATAAATTTAGATTATTTTTAAAGTTGTCCCAAACTATATTTACAGCAGAATTAATATCTTTAATATAAATCTATATTAAAATGCATATACATACGATAAAAGTACCCGTCCAAAGATGATGAAAAAAAAAAGAAGTACCCGTCCAACACTATCAAAACACGATGTCTATTGAACTATCAATTTTAATAAATGAATAAAAACTATTTTCCTTTCGCTAATCAATCGCTGTACACATAATGTAGTAAAACATAAAAGAAAAGAACAGTCCAAAACGATAGAAATATTTCATGTTACTTCATAAAACACTCTCATTAATCTTTCAACCATAATAAACAATTAGCGATACGAAATTATATAACTGCGGATACATGACCATTCACGATCAGAAGAATCAAATTCTTATAAAGAGAAAAAAAAACAAAAGAAGCAATGATATCATGTTCAATTTAAAGTAAACGATTTATTTCACATGATGTTTAATGTCATTGTGTTACATACGACTGATCTACTCCAATCAAGTCGTTGATATCTCCCATGTCTGACTCATATGTAGACTGGTTTGAGTCGTTGCCCATTTGTTGTCCGAATAGAGGGGACGCTCCAGTACCCATATGAGCCACTATCATCAAAACATTTAACTAGTCACATCTCTAGAGTACATAGATATTAGTCAAGACCGAAAATACACATATCTTAATTTAGAAAAAATATGGATATAATTTAGTCACTCAATATGTATACACAAACTACACCAAATACATAAGAGAATGAATGTATACCTGACGTAGGTATAGCCAGGGCTTGTAGCCTTGCTTTGCGACGATTCGCTAAGATAACAGCAATGAACACATATGCGATGAGAGCAAACACTACTGCGGATACAGAACCGAGTATAGTTGGCAGTTTACTATTCTTTCCTTCACTGGCTGACCCACCTAACCCAATATCAAATGTTGGTTTTTTACTTGCATATAAGGGATAATAAACGTTTTAAATATTTGATTTGTTATTTTCATTACATGTAGTGGAACTAGGAGCTTTCATCAAACTAATAAACCTATCAAGATCACAAGTTGAATGGATAGAGAAGTCCAAATACAAACCTGAGCTCACATCATTGCTCCCTCCAGTTCCTCCATTGTTAGTTCCACCAGAGCCTAAACACACAAAAATTAAGTTTATTTCTATAAGATTAAGTGACTATATGATCCAAACATGCTAATAACTTTGTTCATATTGGTAATTCGAGATTTTACACCAAAACCTAGACTAATCACTGAAAATGCATCTCCAAAATAACAAACCTCCAGATCCGCCACTCTTAGACCCTCCTCCTCCGCTTCCAGCACCTCCACCGGATCCTGATCCGCTTTTGTTTCCGCCTCCGCTTCCACTTGTACCCGTACTTATCACATAAATCTCCAACGCATTTATAATGGGCGGTAACAGCGCACTAGGGGTGGACTGGAACACCAGCTCGGAGCTTGAGCTAGCCACCACATCTCTCACGACCACTTGCGTGGCTTTTCCATACACGGGCACAATTGGTCCTTTACCAACTTGCTTACCGCCATATAATATGTTGAACGATCGTACACTCAACTCAAGAGGCTCTGAGAAATACATAGCCAAATAAACTGGAACTCCTTCCGAAGGAAGAGTAGGGTCAACTAATGATAAGCCTTCCCCGGTCCAAGAGTTACGGAGGACGGACTCAGGTGGCTTGTTTGATGCACCAGAGATATCGATTGATGCAGCCGTGGATGGTACTCCTGTCAACAATATGTTTATCTCCAACGGAAGCCAGAACCTACCTTGAAGATCCGATCTAACCAACAAAACGAAAATATTATATCAACTTGTAGCTATAGGTTTAAATCATGTATTTTAATCAGATTCCGGGTCGGTTTACATATCTATAGTTAAATCAGATTATGGTCCGATTTGTCGTTCAAATATGGCATTTATGTTTGTGCTTACGTAAAAATCATTTCAAAGCTTTCATTTTTATCAATATTTTTGCAAATTGTAAAAACGGTAATGGAATGGAATTTTTTTCCCGTTACGTTTAATTTGTTTCTTCTGATTAAAAAACGCTTGAAGTTAATGGTGAACATAAATATAAATATAAAACATATTAGATCTATGTTTTTGTTACGTATACACGTAAATGGATATAGATGTTACCTTATAATTTCTGTTGTGCCATACGCACGTCGTTGTTGGTAAAATAAACCTTCACCAGGACCAAGCTCGTTATACTTATACATGCCATTTTCCAAGTCGAAAACTTCAATGGAAGATACAAAAGGGTTTGATGATGAAGACGTACGTACAAAACAAACGCTGGTCTCTTCACTAGCCGGAGAAAAGATCAGCTCCAAAAGGTAAGGTTCGAACGCAGAGGATATCGATACGGTGCCTCGGTGTTTCCCTTCAAACAATACGCTGAAGGTTGGGGATGAGGACTTCCCATCATAGTTCCCATAGTAAAACATCGTTCTCACTAAGAATTTTCCGCCTTTGGTAACCGGAATGTTGGAGTAGCAATTGGAGTCGCCGGTAGGAAAGTACCGAAGTGTGGTGAGGTATTTCTCGACAGTGGTGGACAAAACCGTGGAAGACTCTCCGGATGTGATGAAGTCTTTGTCTCCTACCCATTTTATGTTGTTCTTGTCTAACCGCGGCAATGACGTTCCGCAGTCTATATTTACGCCTGAAATTGTCATGCATGCATAAATCATAATAGCTATAAAACACTAACAAAGTCATTTGACTCGATCCACATGATTAAGGGACATTTTTATGTGTGATGGATTTTCGTAAAAATTCACAAGGCCTTATTTATGAGATCTTGCATGGGAAAATCCATCAGTCCGTCACATATAAAACAAGAAACATAAGTTTTTTGAAAGAAAAAAAAAACACTGAAAATAATCCTTTAATGTGGATTGATCCGGAACGTGTTAGACTAATCCAATCTTGTAAAGAACTACTTACTGGCTAACGAGAGGGTTATGATGGAAATAAAGAAGAGAAGAAAAAGCGAAGCGGCAGCCATGGCGAGAGCTTATTTTTCGACTAATGTTTTATACAAAATTTCTACAAACATCCTACATATATAAAGATATATACGAAATCTATGTATATATAGTTTATATTTAACGAGTTGAGCTGTCTAATAGTTAATTCTATTAGTAGGTTCTTAAAACCAAGTTGAACTCGAACATGATAACATTCCCTTAGAGCTTTGACCATTCTTTCCAGCTAGGAAATAATTGGTTCTCTAACAACGGGCAATTACAGAATATTATAACAAACATGCATTTGATTTTATATCTCAAACTTATGCTAATAGTTTAAAGTTCAGAGCCGACTTGCTCTGATACCAAATAAAGTTCAGAGCCGACTTGCTCTGATACCAATTAAAGTTCAGAGCCGACTTGCTCTGATACCAATTCAAATCAAGATCACCTTATCTTGACTGCTCTGATGCCCAATTCAAATCAGGAACACGTTACCCTGACTAAGTTACTGAATGATTCAGAAAGTGATTCAGCAACACGAGAACAAGAGATTAAAGAACAACCTTTCTTTATTGATTTAGAAACTTCTCAAAACTAAATCTCTCTAGGTCTTTTGGAACAACTCTCCAAAGCCTTAATCTTTCTCTCTAATGTCCTCTCTTAGGTCTTATAAAACAACTCTCCATAAGCCTCTTCTTCTCTCTTTAGGTCTTATGGAACAACTTTCCATAAACCTCATTGATCTAGTCTTATGGATCTACTCACCATAGTCTCTTCTCCTATATAGAATTTAGCTACCCCTAAGTCTATATGAGTATCTTCCTCTAGACTCTCATGAGGTCCTTCTCGACTCTCATGTGTCTCGACTCCTCATGAGTCTCGACTCTCTTCTTAAGCTCTCTCCTTTGAGCTACTCGAGCTCCCCTCTTGAGCTGCACGAGCTCCCCTGCTGAGCTACTTCTCTTGTTCTTCATAAGGCTCTTATTTATACTATAACCAAGCTTCTTCTTTTCCTATTGTGAATAGGAATACTTACAAATCTTGTCCAACTTGACATTATTTGTATTTCCTTTTCTCTTGATTTCCTTTCTTGGATTTCCTTTCTTGTATCTCTTCTAGCATCTTCTAGAAGGAGATAACTTGCTCCTCAAGTTAGTTGGAATTATCCAACATTCTCCCCCTTAATTCCAACTTGAATTCCGGGAAGCTTGATTCTCGCCAATGCCTTAGTAAGTGTGTCCGCCTTCTGCTCCACACCTTGAACATTCTCAACTTCAACCTTTGTTGAGATACGATCTCTTGCTCCTCCTCAGCTTTTGAGATCTTCAAATTTGACAACTTCAAATTTGACTGCATCATAGTATCCACAAGCATTCCTTGAGCATCTCCCTCTTGTTCTGCTCCTTGAATTACTTCTTGTACTAGTGCTTGTACTACTTCAATGATTCCTTGAACACAACATTCTTGTTCTGCTCCTTGAATCACGTCTTGTACTACTTCATGTACTACTTCAGCGATTAGTACAGAGTACCTAAATATCATAACCCGACTTGGTTTGATATTCTCTAGACCCCGACTTGGTTCTAGCATCTCTAGAATCCGACATGATTCTAGTATCATTAGAACCCGGCTTGGTTCTAATCCAAATATCATAACCCAACTTGGTTTGATATTCTCTAAAACCCGGTTTGGTTTTAGCATCTCTAGAATCCAGCTTGATTCTAGCATCTTTAGAACCCGACTTGGTTCCAATATTGACCAATCATCTACCATCTTGAGATGCGGCCTCCTGATCTTCTTAGCTTTTAGTAAGCTTGAATGACGTTCGGCTTCTCCCCACATATCATTCAGAATCTTCATTAGGTGCCTAGAGACTCCTCCTCTATGCAACCTCGAATCTTCATTAGATGCTTAGCGACTCCTCCTCTATGCAACATCGAATCTTCATTAAATACCTAGAGACTCCTCCTCTATGCAACATCGATTCTTCATTAAATGCCTAGAGACTCCTCCTCTATGCAATATCGAATCTTCATTAGACGCCTAGAGACTCCTCCTCTATGCGTAATCGATTGAACTCCATAAACTCTCCTCCTCTATCAGTGCGAAAGGTTTTGATAGATAAGCCGACTTGCTTCTCTACACACTCTTTTAAACCTTTTGTACCGATCGAAAACTTCAATCGATATGTCAACAAGGAACCACCTGTTCTTGTTGATTGATTCAACATCTTGGCTCGTCTCTCACTTTCATCATAAGTTTTCTGGAACAATCCGGAAACTGTCTCGGACTTCATAACATAGTCTTCAAGGTATTGCGGCTGATTCACTTGTCGACCCGACCTTGTCAGCTGTGGTACTCCTTGAACTACTTCACCAACCTCATCCTCGTGGTTGTCTTGAGTGATATCCTCCATGACATCATCTTCTTCATGTCCTTCTCCAGCATCTTCTCCGTGAATTAACTCCAAACTTATATGACCTAACCGAGCATGCCATGTCCTTGTAGATTCATTAGCAATTCATTTAGTCAGTCCTTTAGTGAGTTCTTCAACGAGTCCTTCAGCAAGTCCTTCAGCACGTCCCTCAGCAAGTCCTTCAGCTTGCAGACATGTTACCTTGCTTATCTCCAAACAACTTGATGCTGACCAGCCTTGTCGCATCACTTTGGATAAATTCTGCTTTTGGTTGTGATCACCGGTTACTCCTCCTTGAGATTGTAAGACGGACCTTCCTTGTCCCATGCCTCTGCCGGAACTGTCACCTCTAAATCTTCCCCTACCATAACCACCGTAGTTATAGCTTCCTTTGTTATAACGTCTTCTTGTTATAACCGCCTCTGTTTCCTGCTCGAAACTTCCCAAAGCCTCCACGCTTAGGGTTTGAGGTCCTTGGTCTTTACTTTGGGTTTCTTACCCAACAAGTTCTTCATACTCCAGTAACCTCCCAACAATGTCTTCAAACCCCATCCGTTTTAGGTCAAGAACTTGCTCCAGGGATGCTACAATATGAATGATCTTGGTTCGTGGTTGTGGATTCTCGCCTGCCATACTTGCTTACGAGTCAGATACCACCGGTCTTGTCTAGAGTCTTCACACTAAGCTCTGACACACCACAGATCTTGTCTAGAGTCTTCAAACTAAGTTCTGAACTTGTACAGAGTCTTCAAACTAAGCTCTGACATACCACATGTCTCGTCCAGAGTCTTCAAACCAGAAGCTCTGATACCAAATAAAGTTCAGAGCCGACTTGCTCTGATACCAAATAAAGTTCAGAGCCGACTTGCTCTGATACCAATTAAAGTTCAGAGCCGACTTGCTCTGATACCAATTCAAATCAAGATCACCTTATCTTGACTGCTCTGATGCCCAATTCAAATCAGGAACACGTTACCCTGACTAAGTTACTGAATGATTCAGAAAGTGATTCAGCAACACGAGAACAAGAGATTAAAGAACAACCTTTCTTTATTGATTTAGAAACTTCTCAAAACTAAATCTCTCTAGGTCTTTTGGAACAACTCTCCAAAGCCTTAATCTTTCTCTTTAATGTCCTCTCTTAGGTCTTATAGAACAACTCTCCATAAGCCTCTTCTTCTCTCTTTAGGTCTTATGGAACAACTCTCCATAAACCTCATTGATCTAGTCTTATGGATCTACTCACCATAGACTCTTCTCCTATATAGAACTTAGCTAACCCTAAGTCTATATGAGTCTCTTCCTCTAGACTATCATGAGGTCCTTCTCGACTCTCATGTGTCTCGACTCCTCATGAGTCTCGACTCTCTTCTTGAGCTCTCTCCTTTGAGCTACTCGAGCTCCCCTCTTGAGCTGCACGAGCTCCCCTGCTGAGCTACTTCTCTTGTTCTTCATAAGGCTCTTATTTATACTAGAACCAAGTTTCTTCTTTGCCTATTGTGAATAGGAATACTTACAAATCTTGTCCAACTTGACATTATTTGTATTTCCTTTTCTCTTGATTTCCTTTCTTGGATTTCCTTTCTTGTATCTCTTCTAGCATCTTCTAGAAGGAGATAACTTGCTCCTCAAGTTAGTTAGAATTATCCAACATAGTTTAGTGGTTTGAATTCGTACTATCGCTATTTTACCACCCGAATTCGAAGTTAGAATATTTTATGATATTGAAAAAAAAAACATAAAAGTACTTGCATTACCTATTAGGAATTGTTAGTAACATAATTACACAGTGTATTAGCAGTCATCCCCAAATAATTATGTTAGTCAAACTTGCAAATTAATATTCTTATTAGTCAAACTGAAAATTAATATTGTATCATATCATTTCAGTGTACTCAATTATATGAAAAACTTGGTTTTGACTTTTGACATTGATATATGTTATACACAATTTGAGGTCTTATATATGTTTTTCTCAAAAAAAAAAAAAAACTTGAGACCTTTTGATTTTTGTTTGCTAATATGAGATTGTCTTTTCTGGTTTGAACAATTCATCACATATTGATGATCAGGGGCCACAACAAACGAGTTTACCCATATACTCCCATGTAGCTGAAGTAAACAGAAATTAGTAGTTATGACAAGAAAAAAAAATCATAAGTAGTTACAAAATATTATTTCTCGAATCTGATCATCAAGGCAGAGGAAGATATAGAATATATTTTCACCTTTGTTGTTGGTAAACTAAATCTGATATTTTTACCTTTTTCAGATGTATCACAAGAATCGATCTCCGTCTTACGTGAAAATTTGTCCAAGAAATTCCCTATCGGTGTAAATATTCATTTCCATGAACCACGTCGAAGAATTTCTATTATCGGACTACAAGGAAGCCGATTACATTAATGACTAAAACGATGTAAATCCTAATTTTCATATGTGGAAGTCAAATGTAATCGGCTTCCTTAGTTCCTTGTACTCCTAGAATAGAAATTCTTCGAAGTCCTTCATAAATCAACTATTTCACTTTCATTTGACTTCAACATATATTAGGAATATAATTTTTGAAAATCAACACAATCATGTTAAAGAACGCATATATCCCCACTCTGTTTTCCAACTCATATCTTTCACTAGAAAAATCAATAGTCATTGAATAGAATTGGTTTTGAAAATAGTTTACATCCAATTGTTCAATCTGTTCAGGGTTGGATTAGGATATTGTTAAGGCTAGTTGGCTCAATTTTTCATTCATAAATGTAAATAGAAAATATGGTTTTGACTTGAGTAAGTTTAGTTTTTTTATGACCAAAGAAATCATTAATTTTACCGACTGATCGGAAGTAATTACACTAACTTTGCTGACTATAGTTATTTGTGAGCAATAAATCATTATTCTTGTTGATTATAGTATTCTTGGATCGAAGACCATGGTAGTTAAACAACTTTTGCATTTTTTTTTTTCATCAGACAAATTCAAATTTAGAAACCTTGCACACATATGGATTAGGTTTTAGACTATTTATTTATTTATTTTTTTGGTTTTAGATTATTGCATTGCATCACTCCTTGTATCAGCTTTCAATTACCTTTTCCCAGGTCCGATATGAGTAAACAAATTAACTTTTCTTAAAAAGAATCATAAATCTTATGGTGCATAATAGTGCATAATGGTGCATAATCAAATCTCCTCCATCCACCAGCTCCAAAGTCCAACCATCAAAGTGGCTTGGTGCCCTCCGGGTTTGGTTTCACTCGAGAACATAAGCGCCAAGGCCTATACTCTGTTTTATTCTCTCTAGCTCTGTTTTCTTCATTTAAAATTTCAGAAATTTGAAAAACATTCAGCTCTATTATGTTATATGAGTCTGTATAGAGAGTCTCTAATTGTATAGGAGTCTCTAATTGTTGGTTAAGGCTATGGTTTAAGCCTTGGTTTTGAACTGTATATAAACCCTCAATTGTATAGTTTTGCAAATTAATGAGAATAAGATTCATTTGGTAATAAGCTCAAAGATGTATATATTGTAACAAAGGACTTTTTTAATTAATTTTACATTGATTCAAAAAAAAAAAATAGAATCATAAAAAAGACAAAAAGGTGTAGAATAACACATGGATCTAGCTCGCCCACAACTAGTTTCGATATTCATCTTGAACAACATACGAATCATTCGTGTCGCTGGCCGTTTGTTGTCCAAATAGAGGTGACTCTCCTGTTCCTATTCCATGCTCTTGATGACATAGGAGAGACCAAAAACCAATATTACTTATCAATAATATTCCAATGTTTAATCTAATAACATGTATATAACGATTAACGCCAACCATATAAATACCTGTGGACGTAGATGGTGCTGTGTTGGACTCTGGCTTCGCATTTTGACGCTTTCTCAAAATATTAACCACGAACGCTGACCAGAAAACAACGAACACGGAGGCGAACGTAACTCCCAAAATGAGTGGTAAGTTGTTCTTTTTCTTTCCTACTTTGCTCCCACCTAAAAACGTCATAGAAAGGGTTCTTCTATTTAATAATATAAGAAACCAGGGAAGTATATTATAAGCTCATTATGATATACAAAGGGTTGTTATGAAGTTTGTATTTTTATCTAAAAATGTTATGATATACTAAAAGATTATACAATCAATAGATTTAAAGTTATATGATTATATCTTCACTATTAATTATTAAACAATCTTATGTGAATAAAATTAACTTAATTTAATAGCTTTCAGAAACTCAATACGTTTTTTTTGGGTAAATGACCAAAAAAAACCTGTGTTTGTTTTAAGTGTTCAAATAATACCCCAACCTTTTAGAAATCGTTTGTAGAGGTTTCTCTGTCATTTTCCCCACTTTTTTTAACGTCAGAAAATGACTACAGTATTCACTATCTTCAAAATATCACTTCTTTAAATTTATACGTTTTGGTTGTTAACTAAAAACTTGGGAAACTTTGGTGAATTTTTTTTGTAATTTAGTTTGCTTGATTGATCTGGAAGAAAAAAGAAGTTATCTGTATAAAAATTAAATACAGTACATATATAGGTCCAATAAAAACTTACCATTATTACCACCACCGCTTTGGCCCCCACCACCACCACCGCTTTGGCCTCCGCTTCCACCGTGCTGGTTGTTACTTATTGAATATAGCTCCAAACCATTGATGATGGTTGGCAAAACCGAGTCATCCGTAGACTTAAAGACTATCTGGGACTCCGAAGTGGCCTCTACATCTCTCAAAACGAGTTGAGTAGCTTTCCCAAAAACCGGTACGATGGGATGTGAACCCACTTGCATGTTGTCCAAGAAAATGTTGAACGATCGTTTCTGGGTCCGACCTAGACTCTGAGGCTCCGAGAAGTAAAGAGCCAAGTATACCAATACAGCAGTTGAGGGGAGAGGCAGGCCGGAGATGATTAAGCCATCTCCTGACAATGCCTTCGACATAACAATCTCTGGCGGCTTGTTTGACGCCCCGGTGATGTCTATCGATGGGGCTGAGGTTGTTAGATCGGTCAGTGCGGTGTTGTCTTCGGACCCTGACGGAGACCATAGCCTACCGTAAGGATCTGACGGGTAGCTAAAATAAGTTTCCAAAATAAACCAACAAAAAAAATTTATAATTAAATAACAAAATTTTAACAATGCACTTGAAGATTTAAATATGAATCAATAAATGTTATCTATAGCAAGGATCGAAATTAAATGCCAAATGAAACATTGGTAAATGATCCAAAAAAATAATAATGTCAAGGATGAAAAACCTAAGCTAGTATGCTACGTTGATGACGAGAATGGAATTTCGTGGGTTTCACTTTAGCTAAGACAAATACATTATAGTAAGACTTTATGAATACTACGATTATTTGATTCATATATGAAACCCCATATATTGCATGACTAGCTTTGTATTTACCTTATAAGCTTTTTGGCACCGTACGTAATTCTTTCATAGAGAATGAGACCTTCTTCAGGACCAACATCTTCGTACATGCCGGCATCGAAGCTGTAAACTTCAATGGAAGATATAAAAGGGTTATCGGACGGAGAAGTACGGAGGAGGCAAACGCTGATATTCTCATTCGCCGGAGCAAATATCACCTCAGAGAAATAGAATGTGTCCTCGTCGTTGAGTAATGATTCAGTAATTTCAATAGAATCACGGTGTTTCCCGTCATAAACTATGTCGAAAGATGGCGGCGAGAACTTGTCGTCATAGTTCTCATAGTAAAACTTCGTCCTCACAAGGGTTTTCTGGTCTTTTGTCGCCGGAATGTTGGTGTAGCAGTTTGTTTGACCGGTTGGAAAATACCGGAGAGTGTTGATCGGCTTTGTGGTGACGTCCGTAATATTAATGGATTCGCCGGTGGTGACAAAGCCATTATCTCCGACCCATGTTACGTTGTTGGAGTCCACGTAGGATCCCGTTGTTCCACAGTCAATGCTTATACCTAACGATGAAAAAAACTAATCAGTAAATTATATGAACAAAGTTTATGAACAAAGTCATCTTTTATTTCATGTGCAACGTATAAAATTGTATGTACACATGTATTAGTGGGGACCTACAGTTTATATTATGTTCATTGTAGTAAGACGATGATCATGAATTCCAAAGTGCTACAACTATATATATTTCTTTTCTTAAAAAGCTTTGTAAATTAAATATAAAAAAATATTTACCATTTTGATCTTGAGCTTGAACAAGGTGAATAATAGCCAAATTTGATATACATGCGAGCAACAAAAGCCTATGGCGACTCTCCATACTCTCTTATTTCCGAAGCAATATCAATGCAAGTTCTGCTTCAAATCAAAACAATATATATGATGTCAATACACAGTGGAAGCACACAACTATTGTGCCTCATTACAATAAAAGCCTTTCCAAAGTGAAACCTCAAAATTACGTGAGAACATGACTTATTATTAGGATACCAAGAGAAATTCAATGATTAAATACGTAATCTAGTGGGCAATTAGATGTTTTCAAATTATATACCGTACCAGTCCCCCTCCCTCATATAACTCTGTTAGGCTAAAATTCCATTCATATACCGTCAATTGCTAATTAATATTTTTCTTTTCAGTCATACTGCAAATTAATGTTGTATCATATCATTTCAGTGTCAATATTATCTGTAAGATTTGGTTTTGAGTTTTCACAATGATATATGTTATAAGTTATAACACAATTTTGAGGTCTTATTTTATGTCCCAAAAAGAACAACTTGAGACCTTCTGATTTTGGTTGGCTTGCGTGCGAGCTAATCGGAGATTGCCTTTTCCAGTTTGTTTCGTTGACACCTTTTGAACAATTCATCACATATTGGTAAGTAGGGTCCGCAACACACACACATATATATATTAGGAATATAATTTTTGAAGTTTAACAAGAATTGTATCAAAGAATTCATTATAGTTGGTCTAGCTCCCCCGTCGACCACATATCCCCACTGGCCCACTCATTTGTCTGACTCTTTTGTTCAATGTGCCACATTTCATGAAATTCTTTGGGGCCACGCCACTTTCGCGTTTGTATTTCAAAACGTGCCACATTTAGGGTGTATGGCAGCAATGGAAAGACGAAAATACCCCTGGTGTTGTTTCCCGCGGAAGTGTAAAATTGGCTGGTGGGATTGGACGTGTCAGAGTTTTGATTGGAGAGGCATTTAATGAAGCCATGTCACAGAGAGGACAAACTAGGTTGTTATAGACAAAACGTAATAAATTAAGTATGTTGTAAAACTTTGTTTGAAATAAAGTTAATCTGCAGAGATAATGAAAGAAGAAAGAGGTAAAAAATGAAAGTTTTTTGTAGACAAGATGTTGTTGAGGACACGTATGATGGAAATGTTATCTATTTATTTACAAAACCAGAATACATGGATGGTGAACCAAAAAGAAAGACAATAATTTGTAGACAAGATATGTGTTCCTATAGAAGAATGCTAAAAGTGTAGACAATAACATCCTTGATAGACAAGTTATTAAGAATAATGTTGTCTATTTTATGATCACAATGCGACGACATTGACATTTAATGTCTATAGATTGTAAGGACTAATTGGTGAAAAACGTAGACAAGTTATTATGAATAATGGTGTCTATCATATGATCACAAAGCGGCGACATTGAAGCATACGTGGACATGTTAATATCTATCAATAAAAAGACAGGTTGGACCAAGCCATAGACAAGTTATTATGAATAAGGTTGTATATCATATGATCACACTGCGAGGATATTGAAGCATCAGATGGATTGCGTGGACAAGTTGGGCCACACCGTAGACAAGATTTGGTAGATAAGTTTTTGTAGACAAGTTATTATGAATAAGGTTGTCTATCATATGATCACACTGCGAGAACATTTAAGCATCAGATGGATTGCGTGGAGACGTTAATATCTATCAATAGAATGACAAGTTGGGCAACACCGTAGACAAGTTTGGGTAGATAAGTTTGGGTAGACAATTTATTATGAAGACGGTTGTCTATTATATGATCACAATGCGAGGACATTGAAGCATCTGATGGATTGCGTGGACATGTTAATGTCTATCGGTGGAATGACAGGTTGGACCAAGCCGTAGACCTGAAATAAAGAATTACAGACAGGAAATAAAGAATTAATGCAACATAAACTTTATGTCTATTCCGCTGACTATTTCAACAGTGTGCGTTTAAACAAGGAATGAGGGCAAAATAGACATTTTACCTCGACCCTATGGCACAATTTAAAAGACTTTCCGCAATGTGGCACAATGTGTAAGTTTTTGAATAGTGAAGGGCATGAGATCTAATAATCTCTTAGGATATGGTTAAGGCTAGTTGGTTCGATTTGTCATTCATTAATTTACATATAAAATATAGTTTTGAGTAAGTTTAGATTCTTTTTTATGACCAAGAAATCATTGATCTTACTGACTGATCTGAAGTAATAACACTATATAACTTTGCTGACTATAGTTATTCTGTTAGCAAGAAATCATTATTCTTGGATCGAAGACCATGGTAATTAAACAACGTTTGCGAATAGTTTTCTTTTCATCAGAAAAATTCGAATTTAGAGACCTTGCACCCATTTGGATAAGGTTTTAGCTAGATATTGCAATGCATCACTTCTTATATAAGCTTTCAATTACCTTTCTAATCTTATCAGACTTCTTGTCGGATATCATATGATTAAACAAATTAAATTTTATTAAAAAGAATCATAAATAAGACAAAAAAAAGAAAAGGTGTAAAAATAGAATGACACATGGACCTAGCTCGTCCACAATTAGTTTCCATGTTCATATTGATGAACAACGTACGAATCATTCGTGTCGCTGGCCGTTTCTTGTCCAAATAGAGGCGACGTCCCTGTGCGTATTCCATGCTCTTGAGGACATAGCATAGGAGAGACCAAAAACCAATATGACTTGTCAATTACATTCCAATATTTAATCTAGGAAACATATAACGATTACCCAACCATATAAATACCTGTGGACATAGTTGGTGCTGTGTTGGTCTGTTGCATCGCATTTTGACGCTTTCTCAAAATACTAACCACAAACGCTGACCAGAGAATTACGAACACGGAGCCGAACGTAACGCCTAGAATGAGTGGTACGTTGTTCTTTTTCTTTCCTCCTTTGCATGAATATTTAAGTTCATTATTTGTCTAAAAAAAATGAAAATTCTATCTTTATCTACACAAGTGTTGATCCTCGAAATCACACAAGTACGTATTCGTAGTTTTAAGGGTGAAAGAAGAATCTCTTATTTAATGACGAGCCGACGATTACAAAAATGGACGAACTAAAAACTGAGTATACGAGCCGAGCCGCAAAGTATTCTGACGGTTGTACGAAATTCTCTGTAAAAGCGTTTTTTTTCGGGATCCTTTTACCAACATTCTTTTTTGCTATTTATAGGGTGCAGAAGTAGGGTACACTGTGCGTACGAAATGTCCTTTTTACCCCTTTGGTCGGTGGAAAATCGAACTGGGCTTTTGCTGGGCTTTGGCTGGGATACATGGGCCTTTTTTGGAGAGTTTTGGCCCGTTAAGGGTTTTGGGCTCGGGCCCAAAACCCACCATCAACAGTAGCCCCCCAACCCTAGTGCGTAGCGATGACGCGGCTAGGGTTGCAATCATTTCGCCGTTCTCGCTTCGACTTCCTTCGCGTGTTTTCGAGGCGCGTGTGATGGACGTTCTCTTCTGATTCGTCCACTGCCGCTCCCGAGACGTTGGAAAGCGGGTCGTTTGCGTGTTGAAGGCGGCGAGGTCGTGATGATTACGCCGTTCTTCGAGGCGTGATGATGACGCGGTTTTTTCTTCGACCGACTCCCTCTATAAATACTTCGCTTGCTCCTCATTCCTCTCATTCTTTCTCCGCATCGATTTCGAAGGTATTCTCTCTGTTCTCTCTCCTTTTCTCAGCGCGTCTTTTCTTATTTTCCGATTATGTCTTCAAGTATCGGTTCTTTCGACTCCATCTCCGACCATCGCCGATCTCGTACTTCCGACGAGTCGAATATCCGGTCTGTTGATCGTTTCCTCAACGAATCCGTCAGCAACTCCCGGGGTCGTAGATCTAGAACCTCTTCCGGATCGTCGGCCTCGTCCGTTGCCAGAGACTCTCCGGCTGTTGCAGAGTTACGACGTCGCGAGCTCGAAAGTCGCGTGGGAGCAGCCGGACCGAGTGCAAATCCTAAGTCCGTTGCAACCATGCGCCTTCGTGATGACGACAGTGACGCGGCGTCTATGGATGAGGATGACGTACCGCTCATCAGACGCAAATCTTCTATCATTAGAGCGGCTCGTTCTGTTGGCCCGTCGCCTGATGTCGCCGATCGTTTGGACATCATTCCATTGACGAGGCGGGCGTCCGCCCCGGTTGGGTTTGTTCAGCCCGGTGGACCAGCACCGGGAATTCCGGATTACCTTCAACCGACGTCGTCGACGAGCGAGACGATTGAGCTTTCTCTCCATTTTTGCGATGCTCCAGCTTCCCTGAATACGCTCATCCCGAACCCGTGGGATCGTCCCTGGACTGCTCCGGAAGGATATCTTTGCGTATACGAAAAGCTCATCACTGACTGCGGGCTGACTTTTCCAATTCCGGCGTTCTTGCTTCAGTACGCTTCGCGGCGAAAAATGGCGTTTGCGCAACTTTCTCCGGCTGCTATCCGGAATGCTTACGGCCTGATTCGTCTGGCCAAGCAGTGCGGCGTCGAACCTCGTTGTTCTCTGTATGAGGAACTGACGACGAAGAAGAATTTCGGGAAATCCAAGCCGGGCTTGGTGTATACTCAGTCTTCGCTGACCCCAAAGTTGGTTGTTGGTGCGAAGAGTAAGACCAACGATTGGCTTCGTTGGTACTTCTTTGTTAAGATCGACAACGATTCCGCGGGGGACGTGGTCGTCACGAATTACCATGGGTGGACTGTTTCACCCGGTAGTTTGCTTATCCCTCCGAGGTCGATCCCTTGTTAATTGATTGTCTATCTAACATAATTTTCTCGTTTCTTTTCCTCTTGTAGTTCGTTGTCCCAAGATCTTGGACCCGTATCCTGAGAAACTTCGCGACGACGTCAAGAAGATTCTAGCTTTGTGTCCGTATACCTGGCCCAACGAAGAAGACCCTGTTCGTCGCCCTTCCTCAAAGTCCAAGAAAGCGAGTCGAAGAGGAGGTCCTTCGAAAGCAAGGAAGGCAAACAAGACTCCAGGTCGGCCTTGATCTTTCCCTTCTTTCTTTATTCGTTCGATGAGTGCGTACGATTTTTCTTACATTCTTCTCTCCCCTTTCTTTTACATACCAGCTCCTTCAAAGGCTATGGGAAAAATGAATGTTGACGCGGTGGGCGATTACTCATCGAGATACAAGAAGAAGTCGTCGGTGACGCCGTCGAAGAGGATAAGCCGGGAGGAAGACGAGGCCATGGCCTTAGGGAGACGTCTTTCCTTAGCCGAACACGAGGCTAAGGAGAGTGAACGACGATCTTCAGGTCGTCGGGATAGGAGAGATGAGGGTGACCGTCGTGATCGACGCAGTCACGATGTTGTCGGTGCCGATCGTTTGGAAGCAAGATCCGACGTAGAGAGGGAGAGGAGGGAGAAGGAGGTGGCTGAAGCGCGGTCAGCTAAGCTACCTGTTGCCGAGACTTCTCACGATGTGCCCCTAGGCGGCAGGGAGGTTATTTTGTACGACGACTCTCAGGTCGAGCCGACCAAGAAGCGGGCTGCTGATGAGTCCGAACCGGTGCGTTCGGACCCGACCAAGAGACAAAGGACGGCCTGGGCCCCTGATTATAGGTGGCGATATGATTATAACGGGCGCGACGTCCATATCTCGACTGATTCCACATCCTGTGCGGAGCTGTTCCGCAAGCTTCACGTCGGTCCATCTCCCTTCTTCGAGCTTCAAGATATGTGGGAGAGAACGGCGTTCACTGACGCTGCGAAGAAGACCGTTGCGGTAATGCCCTGAGAACTTTTCGTAATACTTTTAAGTGTTTTGCTCTCTAATCCAGTTTCTACTTCTTTCTGTAGGCCATCGGCGCGATCGACAGGATGGCGTATATGTACGAGCGTCGTCTCCGCGTTGTTTCCGAGCAGAACACGGCCTCGAAGGATCACCAGAGGGCCTTGGCAGCCGAGACGAGGAGGGCTGATCAGGCGTCGAAGGGTTTGGAGAGTGCCAACTCCGAGGTGCAGCTTCTTCGCGAGGAGGTCGCCAAACTGAAGGAGGAGCGGGATAACGCTCTTTCAGAACGGGAGCGTTGTCTTGAGGAGTTGTCGAAGTCCCGTGTTGACTTTAAGAACTTGGCCGAGCAGTCACAAGCCGAGGAGGCAAGGCTTCGGAAGCGGCGCACCGAATACGCTCGTAAGGCTCTCAAGGAGGCTGCAGACCAATTTCAGCAACGTCTCGACGGGATTCAGAGGCATTTTACTACCAGGGACGCGGCGTACCCCAAGTTCCTCGATTATAATCAGGCGGTCGGGAGCGTTGACCTGCTGAAGGCGCTGGCTGAAACTGGGGAGATCGTCTTGAATTCCAAGGACGTGATTGAGAGGCTTGAAGCTGATGCGGAAGAGCTTAAGAACGAGGTCAATGCGTTCGATATTGCCGAGCTGGAGGAAGGCTGGAATGACGTCGGAAATCTCTTCACGGGCTCTCTCGCTGCTGAAGAAACCGAAGTCGTTGACGGTGAAGTTGTTGGTGACGTCGAGGCCGTCGACCAAGTCGTTGGTGATGGCGACGCCCAGATCGGAGATCCTCCTCAAGACGAGGCCGCGTCTTGAGTTTTTATGTTATTATTTTTTAAGTTATTTGCCGCGTAGTCGGCTTTTGTAAGACGCTTGCCACTTCTGTTGGCTTTTCCTTTATTAAATATCTATTTCGTTTGCTATTTTTTTTGTATGCCGTCGATATCGTTCCGCGCAGGTTATTGAGGACGAGCTCAATAACTTGGTCGATAATCGTGTTTGGGTGGGATCCAAGACACTCGGTGGTACGACCTACGAGGTCGTACCGCGCAAGTTATTGGGGACGACCTCAATAACTTGGTCGATAATCGTGTTTGGGTTGGACCCAAGACACTCGGTGGTACGACCTACGAGGTCGTACCGCGCAAGTTATTGGGGACGACCTCAATAACTTGGTCGATAATCGTGTTTGGGTTGGACCCAAGACACTCGGTGGTACGACCTACGAGGTCGTACCGCGCTGGTTATTGAGGACGACCTCAATAACTTGGTCGATAATCGTGTTTGGGTTGGACCCAGAACACTTTTAGGTGCGACCTCCGGGGTCGGCTTATCCTGTTCGAATGATTAAAACGAGCATGATTGCGAGTTCGGCCTCGGCTTACGTGACCAGTCGTTTTAATCGTGCGAGTATGGAACTCGGCTTTCGTTCGATTAGACACCGGGCCGGGGTGCTAATGTATTTCGTTTCGTTTGTCTTTAAAAAGATAGATTTTATTAATATTTGCAGCTGTGCCTCGTAAACGAGGCTGCCTACGTACCCTCTGATCGGAGGGATCAAGCCGCTCGTAGTTCACATTACATAGTGAGGCGTCGGTAAGGCCGAGCTCCTTTTTTTTTTTTTTTTTTTTTTTTTTTTTTAATAATAGTATCGCTTTAGATGCATCGAATTCCATGTACGGGGGACTTCGACGCCGGACATTGTGAGGAGTTCGTAGTCTCCGGGTCGGACGATCTTCGATATCTGATAGGGACCTTCCCAATTCGCGCCTAGCTTCCCGGCGTTGAGTTCGGCCGTGTTTTCGAACACTTTTCTGAGGACGAGGTCTCCTTCGCTAAAATGCCGATTATGGACTTTCTTGTTGTAGTATTTCGCTGCGGCGAGTTGATAATTCTGGATTCGACATAGCGCGGTGTTGCGGTTTTCTTCCAGGTCGTCGAGACTGTGCCTCATCATTTCATCGTTGAGGTCACTATTCTGTATCATCATGGAACGTCGGAGGCTCGTACACCCTACTTCGGCCGGGGCCATTGCTTCCATTCCGTAGGCTAATGAAAACGGAGTTTGTTCGGTGGCGCTGCGCGGGGTCGTTCTGTATGACCATAGGACGCCGTCGAGTTCGTCTGCCCAGACTCCTTTTTTGGCTTCTAGCCGTTTCTTGAGTCCGGCGAGGATTGTTTTGTTTGTTGCCTCAGCCTGGCCGTTGCCTTGGGGGTAACGCGGTGTTGACTTGTTCAGACGAATTCTCCAGCTAGCGCAGAAATCTTCGAACTGTTGCGAAATAAACTGTGAGCCGTTGTCCGTGATTATTTCGTACGGTAGACCGTGCCGACAAATGATGTATTTCCAAACGAAGTTTTGTACGTCTTTGGCTTTGATCGTTGCATAGGATTCGGCTTCGACCCACTTGGTGAAGTAATCAGTCATGACGAGGATGAAGCGTTTTTGCCGCGAAGCTGGAAGTGGACCAACGACGTCCATGGCCCAACGCATGAATGGGTATGGCGCGGCGCCAGCTTTCATCAGTTCGGTCGGCTGGTGGATGACGGGGGCGTGCCGTTGGCATTGCTCGCACTTGAGCACGTAGTTTTTACAATCCGAGATCATCGTCGGCCAGTAGTAACCGAGCTTTCTGATTTTGAGTGCGAGAGATCGTCCTCCTGAGTGGTTTCCACCTGCTCCCTCGTGTGTTTCTTTCATGACTTCTGCCGCGTCCGCTTTATGGAGGCAGCTGAGCACTGCCCCAGAGGCGTTGTACCGAAGTAAGCATTCGCGGTATAGAGCATATTTTGACGATTTGGCGCGTAGACGCCGTGCTTCCCATTTATCTACCGGAACCGTCCCATCTGACAGGAAATCGCGTATTTCGAGGCGCCAATCTTCGGGGTCGCTTATCGGATCTGGTGCGGCGCGGCTGCACACAAGGTTGATGGATTCGACCCCTTCAATGCTGGGGTGGTCGATGCTTTCGACTGGTATGACGCGACGAAGATCTGGGTCGGACGTTGAGGCTAGCGCTGCTAGGGCGTCTGCGGAAGCGTTATCTCCTCGCGGTATTTTGGTTAGCTCAAACTCTGTGAATTGTTTGGACAGACGCTGGACGACCTTGAGGTACGCGTCCATTCTATCATTTCTTGCTTCGTAGTCGCCGCTATATTGACTTGCTACGAGCTGTGAATCGATCAAGGCGCGGAGTCGTCGGACGTTCATCCCAATTGCGAGTCGGAGTCCAGCGATAAGTGCTTCGTATTCGGCGACGTTGTTTGTCGCCGCGAAACGTAACCGGAAGGACTGCTCCAACATTTCGCCGGTTGGGGACACGAGCCTGATGCCGACGCCCGATCCATGCGAAGAGGACGAGCCGTCTGAATAGAGGGTCCAAGTACCATTCTTCTGATTGGTGCTTAGTGCGGTGTCGTCCGTGTCTATTACTGGTAATTCGACGATGAAGTCGGCGAGGACTTGAGACTTCATGGCTGGTCGAGCCCGGAAGTCGATATCGTATTCACTGAGTTCGATGGCCCACTTGGTCATCCTTCCAGACAGGCTCGGACTGTGTAATGCGGCTTTGATAGGTTGGTTTGTAAGCACGGCCACGGTATGAGACTGGAAGTAGGGACGCAACTTTCTCGCCGACGTAACGACTGCTAACGCAGCCTTTTCCATTGTAGGGTATCGGACCTCGGCCTCGATTAGCGACTTACTTATATAGAAGATCGGTCTCTGTTCGCCGCGGTCATCTCGTACTAATACCCCGCTGACGGCCCAACTGGATACAGCTATGTATAAGAATAAAGTTTCACCGTTCTCAGGTTTTGCGAGTACTGGTGGCGTTGTCAGATACGTCTTGAGTTCGGCGAACGCTTTCTCGCTTGCGTCATCCCAGGTAAACTTGTCTCTTCGCTTTAGGAGGTTGTAGAACGGCAAACATTTATCCGTCGACCTTGAGATGAATCGATTGAGGGCCGCGATCCGGCCGGTCAACCGTTGTACTTCCTTGGCGTTTCTGGGAGAGGGCAACTCCAGTATAGCGCGAATTTGTTTTGGGTTGGCTTCTATCCCTCTCTTGGTGACGACGTAACCTAGGAACTCACCGGAAGTTACCGCGAACGTACACTTGGCCGGGTTTAACTTCATTTGGTATTTGTTTAGCACGTCGAAGCATTGTCGGAGGTTCTGAACGTGGTCGTCAGCTTTCAATGACTTAACGAGCATGTCGTCGATGTAGACCTCGACAGTTCGGCCGAGCTGTTCGGCGAACATTTTGTTGACGAGGCGCTGATACGTTGCTCCGGCATTTTTCAGGCCGAATGGCATCACCTTGTAGCAGTACGTTCCGCGATCGGTGATGAAGGACGTTTTTTCCTGATCGTCCTTATGCATGAGAATTTGGTTGTATCCAGAGAAAGCGTCCATGAACGATAGGAGCTCGTTCCCTGCTGTGGCTTCGACGAGCCGGTCGATATGCGGTAAAGGGTAGCTATCTTTTGGACAGGCCTTGTTCAGATCAGTGAAGTCGACGCACACCCGCCACTTACCGTTTTTCTTTTTGACTACGACGGGATTTGCCAACCACTCTGGATATCGGACTTCGATGATGGAGCTGGCGCCTAGTAGCTTTTCGACCTCGTCATTTACTGCTTTGGCTCGTTCCGGACCCAATTTGCGTCTTTTCTGCTTCACAGGTTTGAATGTCGGATCCACGCCTAGCTCGTGGGACGTTATCGATGGGTCGATTCCAGGCATGTCCTCAACGCTCCAAGCGAAGGTTGACGAATTCTCCTTGAGGAGGGCCACAAGGGCCGCTTTGATTTCTGGACTAATTTCAGCTCCGATGCCGACGCATCGCAGTGGATCCGACGCGTCGATATTCATAAGTTCCGTCCGACTTAGTTCCGATTCCTCGTAGGATTTGCCCGGTGCCTTTGCTACTGCGGAGCGGAGCATGGGCTCCTCTTTCTTTGGTTGCTATAATTTCTTTTCGGCGCGGTTCTTGTGTTCGATCAGGAAACACGTCCGCGCTACTTGCTGATTTCCTTTGAGAGTAAAGATTCCTTGATGAGTAGGAAACTTGACGCACTGGTGGTAGGTGGACGCGACGGCCTGCATTTGATGAAGCCATGGCGTCCCCAAGATTACATTGTATATCGTCGGTTTATCGATGACAACGAACTTAACCCAGGCGATCGTTCCGCCAACAAATGTGGGTAGTTTGATGGTGCCGAGAGACATGATGAAATCGCCATCGAACCCAGCCAATGGTCGAGAACGCGGCTTTATACATCGGTCAGCTACGTTCATCGCGGTGAGGGTGTCTTTAAAAATTAGGTCGACCGAGCTGCCTGTATCGATCATGACGCGCGTAACTCGACTATCGCTGACGATTAGCTCGACAACTAACGGATCGTTGTGGGGGAGATCGACTCCGACGAGGTCGTCTTTCGTGAAAGAAATGGGTTCGATCTCCACGGAAGGTCGGCTCGGCGCTACTGGCCACGTTTCCATCATTTCGGCTTTCTTTCGACACTGCTTGATTGAACGGACCGAATCGTTGCAGTTTTGGAGACCGCCCATGATCATATGGATTTGTCGAACGACAGCGGGGGCGTCGGCGACAGCTTTGCCATGGCGTTGTGTTTTGGCCGAATCGTTTGCTTGATCGTCGCCTCCAGCTGCTCCGTCGGCTCGGTCCTGGAGGAATTGCCGAGCAGTGGCCTCGTTTCGTTTTTGGTTTTTATTGCCCCCTTGGGCTCGGTCACATTCGATGGTGATGCCGCCGCTCTTGTACTTAGCCATGAGGAGTCCTTGCAGATAGCGACAGTCTTCCGTCGCGTGAGCCTTGCTTTTATGATACTCGCAATACACCGGCCCGGTAGTAATGGCATCGGTATCTCTTGCCCATTTGTTCCATTGTTTGGGCGCCGTGTCTTCACTATTTATGACGAACGTGGCCGGCTTTCTACCTTGGCTCGTATTGCGGTCGAGGTGCTGTCTTGGCTCCGCAGGTTTTACCGCATGAGTTTCTTTCGGCGCTGATGCCTTTGTTACTCCGTGCTTTCGTGACAGAATGAGTCGTTCCTCCTCTAACTCGATGTACCTCGTTGCTCTATGAAGTGCGTCCTCGAGCGTGTTCGGGACATGGAGCGTGATATCGTCCCTAAACCTAGAATCGTACCACACTGCGTTGCGCAGAGCAACGATTGCGGCTTCATCTGGGACGACGATCCGGGTAATGACGTCCTTGAAACGGTCGATAAATAACCGGAGCGACTCCGTGGGTCCTTGCGCAAGGGACCACAGGTCGGCATTGGTCGTCTGGTTCTGTATGAGCGGCGAGTAATGCTTGAGAAATGTTACGGACAGTTCACGATAACTGCTGATTGAGTTCGGCTTAAGTCTTGAGAACCAGTTGAGGGCGGCACCGGTTAGATGCTCGGTGAAAATCTGGCATTGTCCTTCTTCGAAGTTCTCTTCGGTTAGTTCGGCTCGGTTGATCGCGATGCCGAATGATGTCAGGAATTCTTTTGGATCGCCCTTTCCGTTATAGGGCTCGAGCTTTATCTTTTGGCGCCCTCGGAGTGAGACGCTGGTTATTCTTCGAGTGAAAGGAGTTTGCTGCGTTTCTTCAAGGACGCGGTCGAGTTCCGGTGCGGCACTTGTGGCCTTATGAACCTTTGTGTTCATTTCCTGGACAATGCGCCGCAGTTCGGCGAGCTCAAGGTCTCGGGTATTTTCGCTTGACGAAGTGACAGGATGGATCTGCCGGGTCGGCACTTGGTTTCCTTGAACGGGTCGCACACCTTGCATCTGACTTGCACTTAGGCGATTGATTTCATCCTGAGCGCAAGCTTGGGCTGCTGCCAGAGATTCGAGTCGCACGTTCGTCCTGGCTTCTTGCTGGCTCAGGTGCGTGAGGATGTTTTGAAGCAGGTCGTCTGGTTCGCCGCGGTCCTGACTTCTTTGGTTCGTCCCGGCTCTAGTGTTAACCTGTGGGTTCGTCATGTTACGTCCGTGCGAGGGAGTTATCTGAGCATCAGGACGTGGTTCAGGGTGCGGTCCGATAGCTGCCGCGGTAGGTCCTTCCGGCGTCGGAGGTAGCGAAGGCGGTGCGGCTGCTGGCGTGCATGCTTCTCCTCCCGAGCTGGAGGCACTTGCGCCGAGTGCGTTGTGGAATGCGTCTGTCATCTTTGCTGTTTCGTCGGTTCGTAGTTATGAGAGAAATCTTCGAGCTTCTCCCCTACCTGGCGCGCCAACTGTTGATCCTCGAAATCACACAAGTACGTATTCGTAGTTTTAAGGGTGAAAGAAGAATCTCTTATTTAATGACGAGCCGACGATTACAAAAATGGACGAACTAAAAACTGAGTATACGAGCCGAGCCGCAAAGTATTCTGACGGTTGTACGAAATTCTCTGTAAAAGCGTTTTTTTTCGGGATCCTTTTACCAACATTCTTTTTTGCTATTTATAGGGTGCAGAAGTAGGGTACACTGTGCGTACGAAATGTCCTTTTTACCCCTTTGGTCGGTGGAAAATCGAACTGGGCTTTTGCTGGGCTTTGGCTGGGATACATGGGCCTTTTTTGGAGAGTTTTGGCCCGTTAAGGGTTTTGGGCTCGGGCCCAAAACCCACCATCAACAACAAGTTGATAAAAAAAATCTTTATTTAGTAATTAAATATTCTGATATATAATAGTATCCAATCAAATGATATAATGTTACGTATATATATACTGTTAAATTTTCTATATATGAGTTAAAATTAATTTAATTTATTTTGTTTCTGAAACTCAATACACCTTTTAACGTCAGGAAATGAAAACACATTCACTATCTTCAAAATAGTACTTCTTTAAATTTAACTTATTACCTTTTGGTTGTTTACTAAAACTTGAGAAAATCTTGTGAATTTTTGTGTGTGATGTAATTTGTTTAATTAACCAGGAAAAAAGTTAGCAATAAATCATATACATAGGTCCAATAAAAACTGACCATTATTACTACTGCCGCTTTGGCCCCCGCCTCCGCTTCCACGGTCCTTGTAGTTACTTATCGAATAAACCTCCAAACCACTGATGATGGTCGGCAAACCCGAGTCATCGGTTGACCTAAAAACTAACTGAGACTCCGAACTAGCCATTACATCTCTTAAAACGACTTGAGTCGCTTTCCCAAAAACTGGTACTATGGGATGTGAACCCACTTGCATGCCGTCCAAGAAAACGGTGAACGATTGTTTTTGGGTCCGACCTAGACTCTGAGGCTCTGAGAAGTAAAGAGCTAAGTATACCGGTAGAGGGGTACTAGAGGGGAGATTCAGGCCGGACATTGTAAAGCCGTCTCCTGACATTGCCTTCGTCATAACAATCTCTGGCGGTTTGTTCAACGCTCCGGTGATGTCTATGGATGTTGCTGAGGTTGTAAGATCGATCAGTCCGGGGTAGTCTTGGGACCCTTTTGGGAACCATAGCCTACTGTAAGGATCTAACGGGTAGCTAAAATAAATTTTCAAGAAACCAACATTAGAAAAATTATGGGTTTCACTTTAGTTAATAATTAGACATGAGACTTTAAATATACTACGACTAATTGATGCATATATGAATAATAAAACCCCAAACATTCGAGGACCAGTTTTGTGTGTACCTTATAAGCTTTGTGGCACCGTACGCATTTCTTTTATAGAGAATAAGACCTTCTTCAGGACCAAGATCGTCATACATGCCGGCATCGAAGCGGTAAACTTCAATGGAAGATATAAAAGGGTTATCGGACGGAGACGTACGGACGAGGCAAACGCTGATATTCTCATTCGCCGGAGCAAATATCACCTCAGAGTAATGGAATGATTCCTCGTCGCTGAACAACGAGTCAGCTGTAATCGCAATAGAATCACGGTGTTTCCCATCGTAAACCACGTCGAAAGATGGTGGCGAGTAATTCTCGTCGTAGTTTTTGTAGTAAAATTTCGTCCTCACAAGGGTGTTCCGGCCTTTTGTCGCCGGAATGTTGGTGTAGCAATTAGTTTGACCGGTTGGAAAGTACCGGAGGGTATTGATCGGTTTATTTACGACGTCCGTGATATTAATGGATTCGCCGGTGGTAACGAAGCCATTATCTCCGACCCATGTTACATTGTTGGAGTCCACGTAGGAACCCGTTGTTCCACAGTCAATGCTTATACCTAATGATAATGGGAAATTAATACAAATAAATAACCGAATCAGTAATTTAAAAATAGTTTAATTTGGCCAAATTATGATAGCACGAAGATTAATGGATGGAGTGATTTGCATTTGTTAATTTACCTTAGCATGTGCAACCGAAAAAAGTTCCGATTTAAGATATAAACTAAGAAACTTTTTATAAACCCCAAAAAAAAACTGAACTACTAATACTTTTTTTTTTTGGTAAAAACTACTAATACTTTATAGTTTATATACCGGACAAAAAAACAATAGATGAAATAGTTGAACCAAACCCAACCGTTTACTGGACTGTGATCCCTAAATCAAACCCCATTGATCAAATAAAACAATGAAGGAAATTTTAGTCATTCTTAATTATATGTTAGGTGTATACTTGTAAAATCCTTTTTGTGATCATACATTGCCTTCTTCCATTCTTTGTTTTCGGTAAGGATACATTTCCTTCTTCACAAATTGTAAAACCCTTTTTGGTGTCTAAGTGATCTTAGCAATGGTTTTCAACTACGTGATCTATTTTTAAAAAAAAAATTGTAAATGGAATATATAAATGTTTGTACGTACCTTCTTGAGCTTGAATAATGTGGAATTGGTGAACTATAACCAAAGTTGATATAAATGCGAGCAACAAGATCCCACTCTCCATATTTTCTAACTGAAGGAGCAAAATCAAGACAAATACTGCTATAAATCAAGGATATGTAAGATATCTATACGCAGTGGGAGCACACAACTATTTTTCGACTCTACAAGAAAATAATTTCCCAAATGAAGCCACAAAATTACGTGAGAACATGACTTATTATTAAGATGCAAAGAGAAATTCAATGATTAAATACGTACTCTAGTGGGAAATAAAATATGTTTTTTTTCTAATAAGTTTAGGAGCCTTATTATATTCAAGTGGTCTAGTTTATCATAAAAACCTATAGTATATCGTAGGAAAGGAATTCGAAACTTAGGAGTTTTCTATTGGGATTTGAAACCGTAAAACAAAACCGAAATTTTGGTATGATAAATAAGAAAATAGGTGACAGCTCTAGAATTTTAAACCACGTGATTTTAACTTCTTATATAGAATGAATTTTGATAACAATTTAAATTTTACCGATTTTATTTTGATAAAACTGCTATAGAATTATTTTGTTTAATATAGCTTTCCCTTGGATTTCCTAACATATTCTTTACCAATTGCAATTAATCATTTTTTATCATCCAATTTCAAATTAATATTTGATCAAATAATTGTCAATGCCGATATTATACAGGAAACTATGTTTTTGACATAGATACAGTCATACATAATTTGAGGTCTTAATCTTTCCACACAAAAGAATGCGATCTTAGCTGGTTTCCGTGTTTGCTAATGTGAGCAGTAATACGACAACTTCAAATCAGATTATGAATTTATTAGAGGAAAAATGTGGAAAGGAAGTAAAAATAAATGGGCAAATTTTTTGACATATTTATTCTTGTACCGGCTTTCAATTAAAGGGAAAATTGGAAATAAAGGATAAATATTTAAGTATTTGTCCATATATAAATTCTATGAACAAATATCAACTATTCCTAAACTACCCTTTGCATAAGATTGAACCAATTGTTTCAAAAATAATTAAGAAAAATATGTATTAAAATGATAAAAAAGACATGAAGATATATAAAATTTCAAAAATATATTGTTTTGTTTTCGTTTTAGATGGATAAAATATAAAGTTTAGAATATGTCTTCTGAAATTAGAATGTATATTCTATACACTCTACATGTTCTACAAAATTTAGATTATGTATTCTACACACTCTACATGTTCTACAAAATTTAGAAGTCATTTCTGTTCTACGGTATTTAGAATACTAGTTTCTACGAATTTTAGAATACATATTCTATAGTTTGTTCTTTGTTCTACAAAAATTAGAATATGTTTTCTAATATTTACTCATGTTCTAAGAATGTTAGAAAACATATTCTTAAGATTTTTTTTATTCTATAAAAATTAGAAAGTACATTCTATCTAATTTAGATTTAAAAAAAAAAACAATATCTTAAAATATGGAAATTGAATATAGTGAATTTGATTACATCTGCAAATTACAGAAGTTGAATTCTGAATACTTTAAAATTCTTTATACCTAAGTGAATAAATTATAACACAAATTAGAATTTTTCTTTATACTTCACACTTTTTCCTATAGATTACGCTTAATTTCTTGTCTCAAAACCCAGAAAATTAGTTGAATTTTGAATACTTTAAAATTCTTTATACCTAAGTGAATAAATTATAACACAAATTAGAATTTTTCTTTATACTTAACACTTTTTCCTATAGATTACGCTTAATTTCTTGTCTCAAAACCCGAAAAATTAGTTGAATTTTGTATACTTTAAAATTATTTATACCTAAGTGAATAAATTATAACACAAATTAGAATTTTTCTTTATACTTAACACTTTTTCCTATAGATTACGCTTAATTTTTTGTTTCAAAACCCAAAAAATTATAGTTGCGCTCCATAAAAAAATTGAAATCAAGGGAGTGAGATAGAGAGAGAAATTGAAGAAGAGAAGAAAAAAAAAATTATTTAATATGACGTTATTAGAGAGGAGAGAACAATTACGAAAGCTTAACTTTGATGAGCAAGAGAATCAAAGAAGAAGAAGATATGAAATTATCTACGGCAAAACAAATAATGGAATGTAAATAAATGTTGATTTTGTCCTATATTTTTTCCAAATTGTTTTTAGAAAGAAATCAATTTAATTTTGAATTTTTTTAATAGTTTAGTAAGATTTTAAAAGACTGGGGGCATATTGGGATTTTAATTATATGAAATCATATATGACCAATATTAAAGTATATATGACCAATCATGAATATAGAATGCATAGATAGACAATAGTTTAATTATTTGTCCTTTATTTCCAATTTTCCCATTAAATTTTCCCATAATTTTTATAACAAATGTTGGTCGGATATAGATTAAATATCATTTATTAAAAAAGAATCATAAATAAGAAAATACATGGAAGATAATAACACATGAATCTAGCTCGCCGATAATTAGTGTCCATGTCAATGACGTTCATCTTGAACAATATAAGAATCATTTGCGTCGCTGGCAAATTGTTGTTCAACTAGAGGCGACATCCCGGTGCCTAATCCACTCCCTTGAAAATATACGAGAGACCAAACACCAATAATACTTGTCATGTATATGCAAATATTTAATTTAGTAACATATATAACGATTAAGCAACAATATTTATACCTGCGGACGTGGTTTGTGTTGTGTTAGACTGTAGTTTCACAATTTGACGCTTTCTCAAAAAAGTTGCCCCAACCGCTGATGAGAAAATTACAAACGCGAAGGTGAACGTAAGACCAAGAATGAGTGGTAATTTGTTTTTCTTCTTCTTTCCTCCATTGTTTTTTGCCCCACCTAAAGCCATTATAGAAGAAGGGTGTCAAATAGTTTTGTTTAATAATATAACAAAAAATTAAGGCAGTAAGAAATATTCTTTATTATTTATTATATTTTGTATCCAAATTATATTTTTATCATATACTGTAATAATTTTTTTGATATCCATGCAGCCTTGATAGTTTTTCACATCTCCAAATAGTTGGACATACCATTTAATAAAATATAGTTTTATAAGATTTATGTCCAAAGATATAAAAATAAAACAGTGTATACGAATTTGCCGTTAAAATATTGTATACTTATAGATTAATAACTTGACTAAGACTTCTTTTTCTCCATTTCAAATTTTTTTAAAAAATATATGGTTTTGTGTTTATATTAAAGAGAAAAATCGCAAAAATAATCAATTACTGTTATTAAATAAGGTTACTCCTACCAAAAATAAATATAAAGAAATGGGGTCAGATTGTGAATACAAACCTCCTACTGCGTTGTTTGCTTGTGGTTTCGATCCGCCTCCGCCTCCACCATCCCGGCTGTTACTTATCGAATAGAGCTCCAAACCATTGATGATGGGCGGCAGAACCGAATCATCGGTTGACTGAAAGACTATCTGAGATCCGGAGGTGGCCACTACATCTCTCAAAATGACTTGAGTAGCTTTTCCAAAAACCGGGACGATGGGACGTGAACCCACTTTTGTGTCATCCAAAAAAACGTTGAACGACCGCCTCTGGGTCCGACCTAGACTCTGAGGCTCAGAGAAATAAAGAGCTAAATATACCGGTAGACCGGTTAAGGGGATCAGACCCATGTTGGAGAGTATTAAGCTATCTCCTGACAATGCCTTTGACATAACAATCTCTGGTGGCTTGTTAGAGACCCCGGTGATGTCTATTGATGGAGCTGAGGTCTTGAGATCCGTCAGTGAGAGACTGTATTCGGAACCTGACGGTAACCATAGCCTACCATAAGGGTCTAGCGGGTAGCTAATATATTTTTCCAAAAAAATCAAAAGAAAAAAAAAATTATAACCTTGAACCAAAGATATTATAACTAATTAACACAATTTTAAAAAATCACTTGAAGTCATATAAAAATGTTATATATGAATTAATATATGTTATCTATACCAAGGATCAAAATCACATGCTAAACAAATGAAACATTGGTAAATTAATTTTTGAAAGAGAAACACATGCTAACATTTATTTCGAATGAAAGTTTTGGGGTGTATAAAAAAAGTTTAGGGTTTCACTTTAGTTACGATTGATGCATTCATAAAACCCCAAACATTCTAGGATCGACTTTGTGTATACCTTATAGACTCTTCAGCACCATAGGTATATCTTTCTTGAAGAATGAGACCTTCGTTGGGACCAAGATCGGCGTACATGCCGGTATCGAAGCTGTAAACTTCAATGGAAGAAATAAAAGGGTTATGGGACGGAGACGTACGGAAGAAGCAAACGCTGATATTCTCATTCGCCGGAGCAAATATCAACTCCGAGAAATAGAACCTCTCCTCGTCGTTGACCGATGACTCAGTAATTTCAATAGAATCACGGTGTTTTCCATCGTAAATCACGTCAAAAGATGGCGGCGAGTAATTCCCGTCGTAGTTCTCGTAGTAATATTTCGTCCTCACGAGGTTTTTCCGGCCTTTGGTTACCGGAATGTTGGTGTAGCAGTTGGTTTGACCGGTTGGGAAGTACCGGAGAGTGTTGATTGGCTTTGTGACAACGTCCGTATTGTTCATGGGCTTGCCGGTGGTGACGAAGCCATTATCTCCGACCCATGTTACATTGTTGGAGTCCACGTAGGATCCCGTTGTTCCACAGTCAATGCTTATACCTTGTGATGATAGAGCACAAAAAAAGAAACAATTAGAGAGTTAAAACAAATTGAATTGGGTCATGTACTCATATTAAGGAAAATGTTAATGTGTGGAGTTCTATATGTGTACGTACTTTCTGTGAGTGAAAGAAAGAGAGAAAAGAGAGTGATGACGAGAAGGAGAAGCCACGCCATCATCAACGAGTAATAAACTTAGCTACATGCACACATACATACGTAATATATAGATAAATTCTAGTTGACTTGACTTATTGAGAATGCAAACATACGTAATGTCCATACCTAGTTGACTTGACTCTCTTGAGATTACACAGCTCATGATGAATACTTGCACAGCGGTTTAGATCTGGAATTGGTTCTAGACAATTGTCAATTCGACAAATGAATAAGGTAACAAATGAACAGACAATTATGCATTTATTAAATACAAATATAAAAGAATATTGAGGATATATAAAATATTTCCGGCTAGTCATGATATTAATATAGAGAGCCTAATTATATAAATCTCTATAATGTTTTCGGCTTATATTTACGCATCGACATATATTTGTGGTAATTAAGTACTGTGATACATTACTTTGTTAAAAAATATTCTTTCATCACACTATTTTTGTAAACTAATAGAAAATATAGAAATATAGAAGTTGACACTTTTTTTTTTTTTTTTTAACTCAGGTGATCCTAAAGGTTTTCTAGGCCCAAAGACTAATCCTGGGGCCCGGGGAAACCATGTTAAATTGCTTGAACCCCGGTGGCCAATGCTACTCGAACCCATGTGGCGGGAATTACCCCCCTTTACCACTGGACCAAGGCGACTTGGTTTATAGAAGTTGACACTTATTTTAGGGAACTTGATTATTTAGGAAGAAGAATTGATGATTGAGTTTGGTACAACCGTATAACTTATTTGGTTGACTTTGCATAAAGTTGACATGTCGAAGTCAATGGCGTTTCACGTAGACTTTAAATTAAACGTACATTGTATATTTTGTATTAGTATATACACATAGTGTGCATATTTTAGTGAAGTCAAAATTATAGTTAACGTAAGCGAAATGGTTAGATAATTTCATGTGTTAAGCCGATTTCCCCGCATCTCAACGTCAGCACTATCCATATATAGGTAAGAACTGAAACTAAATAGGAGTCAAGTGGATCCAAAGGATGTCCAATTCTAATAATATGCTTTTGTTCGTTTGTTGGGCCTCCTGTTTTGATTGAAGAGGCCAGGTTAAGATGATATTCTTACTATAATAGGACAAGTCCACACATATGTATTTCTTATGGAGCCCCATATTACAGCAACCTGTATGTTTTCTGAGTAGGTTTTGCCGTTGACTACCAGTAACATCAGTTAGGTACTTAGGTTGCAACAGGATCAACCAAATTTCCAATGATGTGAGATCGAGGAAGAGAGTAGCAAGTCTTTTTGAATTCCTAGCATACCCGGCCCACTATTGCCAATAGCATTGCGTAGATTTCTTTATTATATAATCCAAATTTACTCTTCCTGTCTGCCTCTATTATTCACACACATGAATCGTGGCAACTGACATTATAATTTTTAAATTTTCATATTATTTTTAAATGCATTGTAATCATATTATTTTTTGTAAAAGTTAAATAATCATCTTTAAAATTTTAATATTTTGATTTCCTGTAATAGAAACAAAAATAATTTACCAAAACTATATTATTATTAAAAAAACATATTATTTAGTCAAATAATTTGTAAGACTCCTAGAAGTTGTTCCATTTTCATAGCTTCTATATCTTTTGTCTCTTCGATGATGGTGACAATATATACCAATTGTTGTTCCAAAGATCTAAGAACACTTTCCACAATTCTTACATCGTCTAACTTATCATCGTATTTGTAGGTTATTAATAACCATCAAAACTCTTGATAAGTAGTCAAACAAGAGTTCACCTAATTCCTTTATATGCAAGGCTTCAAATTTTCTTAGAGTTTGAATACAAGCGCACCTTCTTAACTTGATCGGCATCCTTGTAAGAGACCGAAGCTTCTCACATGCTTCTTTCGTCGACTTTGCTCTTGCAATCTTCTCGGATGTATCTTCATCTATCATTGATGGATTAGTCATAGAGTCTTCTTGTATCTTTCCTTATTCTCTCAAAATGATATTTTGAGTTTGAGATAAACTATCTTCATTATTCTATGGTTCAGCGAGGTTTTTCTCTACTATTATCCACACGTCTAGTGCTCCTAAAATAGTCGTCATTCTTACACTCTATTCCTAATTGCTCTTTTTGAACATTGAGAGTTGAAAGAAAACACTGTTACTCGTCATCTATAAGAAATTATTCTAGTTCTGCTACTATTTTGTTGGATGAAAACTTTTAAAGTGATGGAGAAAGTGTTTTATAACAAGTTCTTTCCAATTCTTTTATAACCAATCTTAGTCAGATATATATTATAAATATGGTATTACAAAAAAAAATTCATAAATAAGAAATTACATAAAGAATAATAACACATGGATTAGCTCTTCGATAAATAGTGTCCTTGCATGTCAATGATGTTCTTCTTGAACAACATACGAATCATTCGTGTCGCTGGCGAACTGTTGTCCAACTAGTGGCGACATCCCGGTCCCTAATCCATGCCTTTGAAAATATACGAGAGACCAAACACCAATATTGCTTGTCAAATTCAAATATTCAACTTAGTAATATATATCAATTAAGTAAAAATATAATTATACCTGTGGACGTGGTTGGTCATTGGTGTTGTGTTGGACTGTGGTTTCGCGTTTTGACGCTTTCTCAAGAAAATAGCACCGAACCCGGATGAGAGAATTGCAAACTCGGAGGCAAACGTAACACCAAAAATGAGTGGTAATTTGTTTTTCTTCTTCTTTCCTCCGTTTGTTTTTGCCCTATCTAAAGCAGTCATATATATAAATAGTGTCAAATTGTTTTGTTTAATAATAATATAATAAGAAATTAAGGCATCATAATATAAGTCCATTGTGTATCTTTAACAATATTTACTAAGTAAATACTTAAATTTTACGTTTTTACAAAATAATTAAATTTTAAATTTTATTGTTAAATTATTGTATATACAATTTAAAATAAATTTAATATTATAACCTTTATAAAACAAATATGCTTTTAGTAACTGCTTAAAACAGTAAAAAAGGTTATTGCATTAAAAATTCATAAATTAGTTAATTAAATTTTAATGATATCTTATGAAGCTTCGATAATTTTTCAAATTACCAGATAGTTGGAGTCTTGGACTTACTATTAATTCAAATATTACTTGTTAAAATTTAAGATCATAGAAATGAAAAGTACTAGTGTATACGAATTTTCAGTTTAAAATCAAACATAATGTTCTGAACAGAAAGAGAAGACAACAAGATGAAGAAATATTTCTGTGTATTCCAGTAAATGAATTACATAGCTTATATAAGCCAAGAGGAAATCGTAAGACATAAATACAAAGATATGAGCTATCAATTAGGAGAATTAAATACATGATTGTAAATCCCTTAACATGTGGGATATGATTATATACGATATCCCAATACCCTCCCTCAAACTGGAGCATGAAGGTTTAGAATGCCCAGTTTGCTTCGAAAAACTTCATAGGATTGGCGGCCAAGAGGCTTTGTAAAGATATCAGCTAATTGAGATTCTGAATGAACATGAACAGTAGCAATGATACCTTTTTGTATTTTTTCACGGATGAAATAGCAGTCATTTTCGATGTGCTTCGTCCGTTCATGAAAAACGGGGTTTGTGGCAATGTAGATTGCGGATTTACTGTCGCAGAGAACACGCATTGGTTGGTCATGTCGTATGCCGAGATCATAAAGAGCTTTCTTCATCCATAGTAGTTCTTTTGTGAGAAACACCATGGCCCGAAATTCTGCTTCGGCGGAAGACAAACTTACTGTGTCTTGTTTCTTCGTTTTCCAAGAGATTGGAGAATCACCAATTTGAACAAAGTAACCAGTAACGGAGCGACGTGTAAGAGGACAGCTGGAATAATCGGAATCACACCAACCTGAAATTTGGAAATCAGTCTTTGCTTTTAACAAAACTCCCTGACCTGCAGTGCCTTTGAGATAACGAACTACACGCAAGGCTGCTTGCCAGTGATCTTCTCTTGGTTTTTGCATAAATTGAGACAGGACGTGAACACTGAATGTTAGATCAGGCCGTGTTGCAGCGAGATAGATCAAGCGGCCAATCAAACGTCGATACTGTTTAGGTTGTGGAAGCAATGCCGATGTTGAGAGAGCAAGATTGTGATTCTGTTGTAGCGGAAACATTGCTGGTTTGGCGCCTAACAATCCTGTTTCAGAGACGATTTCAAGAGCATATTTTCGTTGACTGAGATAGAAACCTCTTTTGCTTCTTGACACTTCGATTCCTAAAAAATATTTCAAAGGACCCAAATCTTTCATCTTGAAACAGGATGCCAAATAATCTTTGAAAATCTGTAAGGCACCAGCAGAATTGCTTGAAACAATCATGTCATCAACATAGATGAGAATGTTGATTTGAACCCCTCCTTTGTCAAAAATAAACAGCGAGTAATCAGAGAAGGACTGAACAAACCCGTATTGACGTAAAGAGGTCGTCAATTTTTCGAACCAACAACGCGGAGCTTGCTTTAATCCATACAATGATTTACGAAGACGACACACTTTCTTTTCATCTTCTACATGAAAACCAGGAGGAAGTTTCATGTATACTTCTTCGTCTAGATCACCGTGTAAGAATGCGTTGTGAACATCCATTTGGTGCACTAACCAATTCTGACCAGCTGCCACTTCTAAAAACAAGCGAACGGTTTCCATCTTTGCTACAGGAGCAAATGTTTCTCCATAATCTACCCCTTCAATTTGTTTATTTCCAAGAGCTACTAACCTTGCTTTGTAGCGTTCGATTGTGCCATCAGCATTATGCTTGATTTTGTAGACCCATTTCGATCCAATCGCATGTTTTCCTGGTGGCAAATCCTCAATTGTCCATGTCCCATTTTCTTCCAAAGCATCTACTTCGGTACCCATCGCATTCTTCCAAAAACGCTTCTGAATTGCTTGTTTATAACTTTTCGGTTCGACAGCTTCAACAACTGCAGCTAAGTAAGCTCGATGTGTTGAAGAGAAACGAGTGTTCCCAACATAATTCTGGATCGGGTATAAACATTTCTTCTT